ATGCAGGTTGGACCCTCTCTCGAGCTCTCCCTTTCCAAGCTCCCGGGATTGTTGCTAATTCGACGGGGCTTCCATAAACCTTGGAATTGATCAAAATTCGGAAATAATTACCTGCTCGCGTTCTGGCCGTTGGGAAAACAATGGCCCATGTCGGGAAGAATCCCGGCACAGGACATTTCCGGATCCTGAATGTTGGGTTTGAAAATCTCCTCTCACACAGGTGCCATCGTACACCCCTCGCATGCAGACCGGGATGTGACAAGTAGTATGACCATCTCTGCCGCCTCTGACAGACCAGGGACATCCTTGTAGCGCTTGGGAGATTCACAGCTCCGGGAGCCCTGGGAATGCTTGATTCTCAATGGCAAGAGGGATAACATGGACTTGTGGAGGGCTCCAATCCGTGGCCTGAGGTCCCTTGCTCTTCTTTTTCAATCAAATGGTGGAGGATACAGATATGCTACACTACCTAGGTGGATGCTGGCATCCCGCAATTCCAGGAATCCGGGTTCGCTTTAGACCGGGATCATACAAGCCCTCGGGTGTAAAATCAGTAGCGAAGAAAAAAAAAAAAAAAAAAGCAAGACTAGGTCAGGCGCTTTGATCACCACTGGCTGGCATTCTCGGCGGTCAATACGCAGGCGGAATTTGGAGCCTTGAACCCGTTCATTTCAACAGGGAATTGTTTCCGCGTACCACCTTGTGCGCACAGCCCAGAGATAGAGTCTCTCCAAGCCCGCAAATATTTCGCCCAGCCTAGCCGATATTACGGCGCAAGCTATGAAAAGGTACCCGAGGAGGTAATACTATGCAGACGAGTATCTGCGCGAGGAGAGGTGTAGAATAAAGCACCACCACACAAGAGGCAATAGCATGCGTAGTGTTACAAAAAGGCATCATGACGGCCTCGACTAAATGTGATCTGTCAGTAGCATTGTGCGTTGCCCTCGATGTCGACGAGTTACAAGGGAGGGGATGAATGGAGGTGGTTTCTCCCACACAATCCCATGCGGCAAATGTCGATCTACCTGCTGGCAGCCATGGTGAGTGTTTCACCGCTGACTGTCTAGGCCGGCCGCCGTGGATGCCGCACACCTTGCAGCCGGCCAGGCTGTCTCTCGGGGAGGTACATACCTGTCTCCGTAGAGGGGTATACTGCTGGCAGCTGGGATTGCATTCTAATGACCGACACCTGCAGATGCAACTCACAGCTCCAGGGCAGGTTAGTAAGCCAGTTGGTCGTATTTGAGACAGCAAGGGTAGGCAGATGCTCCGTCAAGGGCCACTAGCGGAGTGGTAAATGTGTGGCTGCATATCCTCAGGCCATTGGAGGTTGAAGCAATCACAATTGAGTGACGGGGGAGCAGACGCACAGCTCAAGTCGACAGCGATTCGACAAGGCAAGGTAGTTAGGAGGAAACAGTTGTACGTAGGACCTAGCCCTCAGCATGCTATGGGCACCAACTCGACCACTCGGGTATGCAACCATGTGCAGGATGCGCGATTACAACGCCAATGCGTAATTCAGCATTAGCATGTCTGGATCATATTCACTCATTCGGCTCGGCTGCATTAGCATTGGGATCAGGCGCTAGGCTCACGGGCATATGTAAACGCGACACGACACTTGCGCAGTCGTGGAGGTACCTACCTCGCAATGCAGCCCGTACATGACAATGTCCAACCAGCGGTGCCTTCCTTGCCTTAGGTACATTATGTACGAAGCATGGTAGGTTGGTAAGGCAGGCACGTAATACAGAGCACCTACCTTAGTCCTGGCGGCAGCTTCCACCTCACATGAACAGCCCCTGTTGGGTAGGCAGGCACGATCCCCGCCTGGGCCTGCCCGGCAGGCTTGTGCTCACTTCGCAGGCTCTATCGCCCGACGCAAGGCAAGACAGCCCTGCCGATATGCACATGGACGACATCGAACTACAGTTGCAGCCAACCTACCTTACCTTCTTCTCTCCTGTCTCGCACCACATGGTGGCAGATGGGCCTGCGGTGAAGTACCGGCTGTCGCTGCGCCCATCCATTGTCTCCATTCTGAGAGATCATGCAACAGCAGCCCCCCCTCAGCTCAGACCCTACCTGGGAGGGTCTTCTTGGACCAAGACACTCTGAGCGTGTGCATTCTGCAACCCGCCCAAAACCGTTTTTCGATCCCGCACCGTGTCCACACTAGTGACCAATCTGAGGCGTGCGAAAACAACACTCGCACAAGTTGGGCTAATTCTTCTCAGAGACATTCATTCTGGTGGCTTAACGGCCTGGTTCGACATGCTCTCACTTATTGCTTGGCCCGGGACCGTATTGTTACTCATCTCCGTTTCCAACTGGTCGGCTGCCTGGGCTGAGGCACCCACACTATTCGTGTCAACTGTCTCAGACGCTGAATCTGAAGCCATGGCTTTCGTGCTGTGTAGGTATTGGGTCGAGCCATCACATCCAGAGGGGCCGAGCGTTGTGATGGACGGCGGCATCAGTCAATCGCCCATCTGTGCCCACCAGGTACTTCGGCACCAATTTCACTTTCCTCCTCGCCGTGGTGTGCCATCGCATCTGCCCACGCCAGCCTCAACACGGCACCGCACACTCTTGCCTAGTCACCGGGCAATAGAGGGGCCTGAACTCGGCGGCATTCGGTGCAGGATAGGTCCCCACCGTATAGTTTCGCTGGGCTGGGCTGGTGTGTGTGCAGAGAACCCAGCAAGCCCGGCATTGGCTGGTACACCCCCTCCAAGGTGCGTCTGCGTCTCTACAGAGTACGTCCTCCATCACCTCCTGTCAACCAACCCTCCGCCTCACAACTCCACTGCACACCCACCACATCCACCGGCCTCCCTCCACAATGTCACCCCGGCACCCTGTCGATAGAGACCAACCAGGGTTAATATGCCAGTTCTGCGTGAGACAAAAAAGAAAGATGTGCTCGGGTCGCCTTGTAGCTATGTGGCTAAACATGGTACCTACCAGCTACGTATCCCCACGTACTTAGATATGCATGTACTGGCCGTCGTCGGCCAGCTCAAGCTGCGTGTATATGCCCATCCCTCCATCTGGCGTGTCCTGGCTACCACCACCATCCGTCCTATCCATCTGTCGACTCTAGGGCATTCTCTTTCCACTTATCTGGGTTTCCTTTACTACAATGGCTTGTTGTTTACCTTAGATAGACACTGATACATCATCATTCCCTCCTCACAGCAAGGACCCCGGGCAAGAAGCAAGGGCATCGAGCCCCCAAGGAGGAATCCCAGAATATTGAAAGCGGGCCCCGCCCATCGATCCCATCCACCCCCCTGGCCTTGCTGTCACTTTTCTCTTTTGAATCGTTTAGGGTGAGCACTACTTCCAGGCGAACAAGGTGGCTTGGCAGTCCTGATCAATTGGCTGCCAAACGGCTGGCTTTTCGACCTCTTTCAGCTCATATCGTTGTATCAATCTTCAGTAACTTTCCTATTTCGTTGGCCGCTCCAATCTTGGACCCCAAGAGACCGAGAACTGTACCTGTTCCTCCCTCACAAGCATTCCGTCCTGACGTTTATGGTCTTCTGATCCTCTCTGGAGCACAGTACAGTGAGGATCAACTGGGTATTTGGGCTCGAATTGATTTTGTCGGCTCGTTTCTAGCACTGGTTTTGCTTCTGGGGTCTCTCGTTTTTCAATTCGATCTTTCCTCGACGTGACTGTCAATCCAGGACGGACAGACTCGCCCCTGTTTCAACCTTGCAACAACGAGAGGGCGCGCCATACCTGAGGACGAACAGTGGAAAATCTCTCCGGGAAACAAATCTACCTGGGCCTTTCCTGGGATTGATCCCCCTCGCAACGTATCTTGGGCCTGGCTCTTGGACTCCAGCTTCGCGAAGCAAACCTCCCATTTGTCCGTCGATGATTAATTTCCTGACCCGACACTTGACCAACACGATTTCACATTGCATTTTGCGTTGTAAAGATCCTGAAGTCTCGTGTGAAGCGACTTGCTCCCCCATGTCTCACCTGTCAACCGTTTTTATTCGTCTTTTGATTATCTCAGTACCCTCTTCTGGGAAGCTGCAAGCGCCCCCAGCCAGCATCAATAGTCAACACCTACGCCCTGTTTGACCTGTCTACTTTGCATCCGGTGCTTCCTCTGCATCCATCTTCGAAGCTTGTTGCTTAATCACCCAACCCTCGCCTTTCCCTCCCAGAGGTGAGAGCGTCTCAACGGGGCTGGGTTCTTTCTTTTCAGATCTGCTTTCCTAAGCAACCGGAAATTCCTGGGCGTCTTTCTGAACAGCGCCGACAATCCATACACGACCGCCCATAGGAAGTGGGTGCGTGATCATCCCTCTCACGGCACTATCCTAGACTGTCTACAGCTTGAGCCGTTGATCGGGGCAAGTTCCTCAGCCAATTTGGTGTCTGCGAATCAACCGTGACTTCACATTACATCGCCTACCAACAGTCCTGCTACACCTACACCACGGAGATTGTTTTGGTCTTCTACATTGCGCTAGCCAGTCGGTTATAACCCCACCCTCTCGTCTTGAAGCACGAGCAGCCTCCCCATACATCGTTGGACACCCACACGCCCCGTCTCTTTGCAGTACGCACTAGTCTTACCCATTCATAACCAATCACTGTACTTGAACCTCTCTTTCATAGCTTTAAAGCTACATTGCTCTCCTCAACCGTCCAAGGTGAGTGGCATCTTGTCGCTGCCTTGCTGCCTTGCCACAACATTCAAATATCATATCCTCCACAGCTCAGCTCTTGTAGGAAAAAAACCTCCGGCAATACCACTGCCCACTTTACTCGTCATTCAACACTCTACAGATCATTTATCATATTCTATAATCAGGCCCAAATCTCTATAAACGTTTGCACTCTTGTTTCTCTCATCGAGAGCAGCTCGACACGTTATAAACTACCGAACCCGTTGCCCCCCCCAGTTTTACTCATCTTATTCTTCAATCCATTCTCCCCGTGTCTTTGAACCCTCCCATCGTTTCAGCATGGTTCAAGAGTGGTCGTCGCGGGACCATCACCCGCGGCACTTCACGTGCCAACCTCCGACTCGATATCAACCTGATATCATGGACCACAGGCGCTTCTATGAGTCCCAAGAATCTGTCCGACACCAACCACCCATGGTATGCATTGAAATAACATGACTGGCTGCTCTGTTCTGACCATGATAATAGGCCATCGACACTGCGCTTCGCTCCCACTGCGGTATCTGGGCTAAGCAGTACTTCGTGGCCGTGGTCATGGATGATGGTACGCCGGCCACATTCTTTAGCCCAGGGCAGAAGTTGCAGGACAGTGTTGTACGTCAATTTTTTGATATCAAGAAGTTTCAGCAAGTGGTATCCTCGCTCGATACAGGTAAGTCAGATTATATTAGCCCTTGTCGCTGCTCCCTAGCATCTGCTAATATCTGCGGTGTTAGATCAAGCAACGAGTCACCCCCCTAGCTCTGAAGGGTCCATGTATTTCAGACCACCTTATCACCATAGGCACCACACAAGTGATCGAATCCGTTCGCAACATGATGATGACGGCGATGAAGGAGGTGGCTATCCAGGACGACCGGGTCGGAAGCGCCCAAGATCACGCCACAACATGGAGTACGAGGAAATGCCCATGCCTATCATGTCCAGGAGGGGAATCCGGGTTAGTGACTCGAGGGCCCTGTGGGGATTTTACGATCAGCGTTTCAAGAGCTGCCAACAGTCCGCCTGCAAGTTGATTGCGAAAGCTTGGGTCAAAGCTGTCGAACCCAAGAAGCAATCTACCCATCCATACACCGGTAGTGATGCAAAAGCTCCTGACTGGTGGCCGAAGCCCTGGGGAGACACCAAGGAAGACAGGGTGAGGCACAAAGAACCCGACCATCTTTACAAAAGAGGTGAGAAAGCTTAAAACTCTCATCTCAATCACTAAGAGCTGACATCCCATCAGAACGAGTTCACCTTCTCAATCATATCCTCGCTATCATAGTGGAGCCGACCGCGAAGCAACACCCTGACATCCGGAAACTTCAACTCAATGTCAAGAAGCTAGAAGATTGTACCAGCGAGGCTCTCTCTGGTTTCTTCAGCGAAAACCCCCAAAATTCTGGCAAAAAGCGATTTCTTAATGAGATTTTCAAGGTGGCAAAGCAGCAGGAGAGGTATAATAATGGAGAAATCGGTACAGTAACCTGGCTCGTCTCCTTTGCCATAGTGGTTCTAACAAGAAATATAGACGGTGCTACCGAGGTCTACGTCCTGAACGACGACAGAATTTCAGAGACTCAGACACCAGAACAGGAGGAAGGTCCAGCTACCCGTGACCACGAGGAGCAGACTACATCGCCTTCAACTCGGTCGACTACCCAAGGCTTTCATCAAACCTCTCCCGCTGGACACAGCCCTACTACGGCATCTCAAACAAGCTCGTTCATGAATGATCTTCCTATGCGTAATACCCAGAACCCACCACCACCTCCATCGATGTCGAGCGATCTAACAGCACACCACGGCTTCGTTGAAGAAGGCCTACCGGTCAATGGACCGACACCTGCCCATCATCCGAACACAAATATTGGCGTCGACATGATACCCAATAGCAACGCCAATGACTCGAGTCGTCGATCCTCAGTGTTTGGGGAGTACAACCATGTCGGCAATGGCATGTATACACAGCAATGGCAAACTGGAAGTGGACCATCCAACCCTCAAGCTGTTTATCCTCACAAACAGAGCGGTCCGTCAGGATCATATGTCACTGCGGTTCCTGCCACGCCTCCCCAATCCTACATGGGGGGCTCCTTTGTTGATACGATGACACGGCAAGGATATGACCAAACCCACAGTCAGGTGTACCGCTCTGGGGACGTACCTTCAGGGCAGATTGGGCAGCAACAGACATACAACTACATACCCAATGATAATCGAGGGCTTCAAGTACTTCCAGGTGTTTCCGAGGTAATGGACTCGGTGCCACGAGGCCACTTCAAAGACGAAATGATTTGAGCCACCATTGTCATACGTCCTTCCACCACAAAGGGCAGATAACACAAATGTGGCGGGAGGCCTAATTGCGTCGCAAAACGGCCTAGGGCTCTTCTGTCGAAAACTCTACTGCCTTTTAAACCTCAACCTATTTTTTTCCTGAAACTATTCATCAACATATCATGGGAAGGCATACTCAATTATCACAGTTGATACCCCGTTTGATTGGCTTTAGACTACGGTTCGAGTCTATTCCGTCGAATGTTTCCTTGCAAATCGAAAATGGTGTTTGTTCGTCATTAAAATACGAGTGGCTCTTTGATTTTCCCCTGCTAGTCTTTTTATTTCTCTTTTACGGACTATGCAGAACCGCACAATACTTTTTTATTCTCCGTCTAACTTGTTTTAACTTCACAAATCTTTACGCTAAAGCCCGCGGTTGGTGGTTTGGAAATATAAAGCTTCCTTGGCCATTTTTACGCTTGGCGACGGAGCTTGATTTTGGCTCTGTGCCTTAAGTGTTAGCGTCTTTGGTCATTTTCGTTCGCAACAAGAACCGCAAATCTGCCTGATTTATCTATTCCATCCTGCATGGAACTCTCACGACTGGACGAAATGAGATTATGAACTGCAAGTGTTTTTAACGATCGTGCCTTGAATGCGGACGTTCATTCTTGAAAGTCGCGGCTGCTTCGTCCTCCGTTTGGTCATTTCGATACAAAGCTTGTGGCATTTACTATAAACTACGGCTACCTGAAGCCGCTATCTCTCGAGTATCTGCCTGTCTGTTCGAAATTGAAACTGGACGATACTTGCTGCCTGTTCTCACTGGTTTATATGTTTCTTTGGTGCTGCCTATTTTGTTTCTTGCTTTCTGGGGTCTACATCATTACTCGCGCCTACTCTATAGATAAACAGGGCTCTTGAAGTCTCATGACTATTGGAAGAACCCCGCATAGTATGTATAAGGTTGGCTGGCGATGGAAATCTGCAGATGGATGGATGTATTACACGGGACTCTTCTTTTCATCACCATCTTCCTTCTCTTGGCCTATCCATACTGACCTAGAAATATGAGCTCAAATGGAAACTAATTCTCTTTTACTAGCTGCTTATCATCTTGCCCGGTTACATCATTTGTTGGGTTCTCCGTAATTGAGTTTTGCGGAGAGACCGGGTAGAACAGGTCACTTTCAGGGGCCACATCTGCTTGCGATATCACATTCTACGTGCTCCATGCATCTCTTCCATCCCCAGAACCCTTCACTTCACCCGTATTCCCATCCACTTGGCCAGCAGTCTTCGCTAGACTATCACTCCCCCGTATGTATGTGCCTGCCGGGCCACAAGTCATGCAGTCGGTCGTCACCCTGTGGAGACGAGCGAACGAGAGGATCACACCTACATGTAAACATGCATAAGAGCATGCAGATACATTACCACCCCCCCGCATGCTCGCCCCCTCCCTCCAGCTTCACTCCTCCTGCCCACCCCCAGGCAACACTCCCGCCAGCCAGTGGCTTGCGGCGGGGAAGTCTCCCGCGTCGCCCAGCCTGCATACATATACCCTCCAGGCTGAGCCGTACGCGAGGTTCATGTACACGGACTAGAGACCTCGTGCCCAAGGCCGGCACTAATGCCGCCCGCACATTATGTATGTCTCAGAATCCTTTCCGCGTGTCTCGCTGATCCCGTAGCCGAAGGGGGGGGGGGGGCTAAGCCACGCAACGGCCCTCGTTTGAGCTCCCCATGCAGGAAGAAACCTAAAAAGACCACACTGGAAAAAAAAAGGAAAAACAAGACCCGGAAGTGGAATTAATTGCATGGGAGAAGGAGAAAAAAAGAAAAACCCCCAATAGAACCGTGCCTTGGCAAAACCAAAGGTTCCCTGCGCCCAATCGGAGCTGGTCCCACGATTTTTCGGATGGTAACCCATTTTTTGATATGTCGACACCACCGCCCGCCCGCCAGTGGAGGGCGGGACGAATGGCCATGCGGCGCGTGGCCACGCTCCTTTCGTTTATCTCATTGTTTTACCTTTTCTTTTCTTCTTCTTTGCTCTTGCTCCTCCCTCACCCTTCTCTACTTTTCCCTGTTTGGTTATGAGAAGCGACGGGCCACACCACACACCCTTGGAAGTGTCGCTGCCGGGGCTTCGGAGGCAAGAGGGGGTGCGGCAGCTAGCGACGCTTGTCTGAGGAGATGCATAGGATAGCTTGTTCTCGCGTGCGGCTGGCTAGTTTCCTCCACGGGACCAGCTGCTACTCGACGCAACTAGGACCGCTGGCTGCTCTCGCGGAGGTCTTCCGGCCGGCGCGGGTCACACATGCAGATGGATGGGACATACAGTAGATCCACGCAAGGGAAAGCGAAATGGGCCCGAAGGATCGAGCATGACGAGCAAGAGTATCTCGATGTGATGAGATTAACAAGGAAAGTTTAGGGCCTCGGGAACTACTGAGGGGCCGACGACGGGAACATCAACTCCGTCGGATACTGATACCTTCCCACCGCCACATGATCAATACCTTCAACCAATACAAATCTGTCCCACCAACGCCAAGCTACTTTGAACATTGAACAAATAAATGCAAGCCACCTCAGACAAGCGGCCCGACACCCCGTTGCCCCCCTTCGTTGGGGTGAACAAGCGAGGGGGGGTTGGGCGCGGCGCCGCCAATAGAACGAAAAAACAGTGAGCCGATATGAATCATGCTGGTGCAGCTATTAGTGCCGGTGCATAAATTGCCCCCCGTGTGGCGTGGGAAAACGAGAATGCAAGTCCCAATGGGAAGATGGATGGAAAAAGAAAGTAGAAACCCCAGACAGGAAAAAACAAAAGGGAAAGGGGGGTGAGATTGTCAACGGCTGAACCGACAGAGGGGGGCCGAGGGAGCATTCGGCTATCGGTTTGGTGATAGAAGCAAAAGCTCCCAGATTGGATTACAGTGCGGTGGTTATATCAAAAGGGGGAAATGGGCGTAGAAGGCTCTAACTTGGCGCTGCGGCTTCGCCTATTTCCTCCTTGGGTTGGGGAGGCTCCAGTCCCGCGTTTTGTGCCACCCGCTTCCAAATCTCGAGCTCGCGATATAGTCGTTCGCATTCCTGCTTCAACTTGTCGTTCGAAGTACTTAACTCGGTGATGGCTTGCTCCGTAAGCAGCTTCTCGAGTGTCCACTTTTCAAGATTCTGCTGCTCGTTTTCCTTGAGCAGTTGGATGAAGTTCACGGCTCGTTGGAGGATTGAACCCTTGTTTTTCTCACACCCTGGGACGATCTTGGCCAGTTCATTAATACCCTCATTGATAGTCTCTCTCCGTCGACGCTCGACTGTTTGGCCGGTTAGCAAAACCTACGAAGCAATGATTGAGCGATACTTGGTAGCTGCTTACCTTCTTTGTGGTTATCTTTGCGCATCTTATGCCACTCTTCTGATCCGACCGTCGGCTTTGGGTTTGACGTTGCTGGCGAGGCCGTGTAGCGTGGCGCAGGCGGAGGTTGTACCCCATTCTGTGCTGGCTGGTGAGGCTGGTGAGGCTGATGGACAGTATGATCATCCATGAGACCATCTGGCTGGGGAACATCGGGAGGATTAAATGCGGACGCATCGTGATGATGATGCTCGCCGGTATCGCTAGTGGCCTGGGCAGCGAACTGCTCCTCTGATGAGGGAGGGACATGAAGCGTCGGGTACATGCCAAGCGCTGCCTGCGCTGTGCTCGTAGCTGAGGCAGGATCTGAGACTTCATTACCCTCCTGAGTAGCCTGCTGAAGGGCATTGAAGTCGGCCACATTCATGCCCCCGTTGGCGGCATGGGCTTCGGTGGCCTGGATTGCGCTCTCGATATAGGCTGCCGTATCACCTTGAGCCACAGACATGTTGGCGGGAGGAGCGGCGCGCTTTGATCGCTGGGAGCCGGGGCTGCCCGGGTCTCGCTTCCGCTTCTGGCCTGGGGATCCAGAGAGGAGTGAGAGGTCCGGCTGCTGTTCGGTGATAATGTCGCTCATCGTCTAGAAGGGCGGGCGGCTGATTGCAAATAGAGTGGTTGCGGAGATGTCGGGGCACACGGGTCGACTTGGCAACAAGTCGAGTCGGTATGCTGTCTCAAACTATCAGACGTTTTGGTAGTTTCAACTAGAGAGGGATATGTTAGACGTCTACTGTATTTCACGAAGTACTAGATAAGCAGTACGAGGTACGAGTCTGATGTCGGATCGAGGCCGAACAAGGGCAGGGTCTAATAAGCTGGAGGGGGGATAATAAGAGGGCAAAGGTAGGACGCAGGTATATGAATAGCGGAGGTTGCTGGAATCGACAGCCTAGTTGAACAGGCTGAAGAGGTTACACCCATAAAACATGATAAGGTTGAGTATGTTACACTGGCAACCAGATCATGTGGAACAAGGTATGTTCGCGCGAGCACTTGCTCGATTGCGATAATGCCTGACAGGACGTAGAATCCGAGCACGTTGAATGCGCCAAGCCGGCCACAGCATGGATTTCGTCCAAGTCAACCAAAGGCCTGGCCGGCTATGCTTTGCATGAAGCAGAGCACCACATTCCAGCCTTACAGGAAGCCAGCGGCCACGGGTAGACTTATGATTCAGGCCATCTCTCGCTGCACGACTACCTTGAGATCCATGGGCGAAGGGGACGATGCTATGTTGCTGAAGATGCAGTGGGCAGCAGAGGCCATGTAAAGTAGGGCCATGTGCCGATTCCTCGATGCAACTTAGAAGCGCAGACCCGCCGTGAAGGCTTCACCCAATTGAGGACATTTTTTTCAATCACAGACTGCCGCAACGATGATCAAGAGGAGTCTCTACTCATCCGCGGTGCACAGGGAGGTGCGAGCAGCGCGATAGCCCAGGCCCCATCCACTTGGCATCGAATATCGAAGCGGGTGGGGGAGCTGAGTCGGGTGCAATGGTGATGACGATGACGATGATGATGAAAATGAGGTTGGGGAAGGGTGCATGCACATGCGCGTTGGAGTGTGGTGTAGTCAAGTGCAGTGATGTGTTGCGTTGTGTCGGGATCATCGGGCAGCATGCGGATGCAAGGCCTCGGCCGATGTGAGTGCGCAGGGCGACTCGACGATGTGTGAGGAAACATGGAACCGACATACCTGGCAGATCATGTGCTCTCTCGCTCCAGATCACGAGTTTTGGCTCCTCTCACGTGTTTGGCGTGATCAACTCGTGATATCGCTGGGTCTTGGTCGTCTAAGTACTGCGCCGATGCGCGAATCGCAACCACGCCCCAGAACAGCGAGAAAAAAGGTGCGCGAGTCGGGGGGCAGCAAGAGGAGGCTGAGCGAAGGCGATCTTCAACGCGATAATTGTCGATTTCCAAAAGCTGGGATCCTGAGATATATGGCCGTATCACCCAGATACGTGATAGCAGGCGGCTTCGGGGTCATAGGTTGGGTCACGCGGTAGAGGGAGGGAATAAAACACGTGAGCGAGGAGACAGCTGGGCGCTGGGTCAGTTCTCCGTATTTATTATCGATACTGCAGGCGGGCCCCTTGGCCGGTCGATGGGCGCTGGCGGGTGCGACCCAGTGGCCAGAGCGAGGGGTGCTCGCTGCCTGAGGCCGCAACCCAATTTCCCCCCTCCTCTGCCCCTCAGCACCTCTCGAGGGTGCCGGGGTGGCCAATCAGCGGGCCGTGTTTGGCACCTGTTCTCGCCATGAGTGCCTCAGCCCAGCAGGTCCCTGCCTCAACTAACTCAAACCATATCCCACCAACAGGCGAAGTATGTACGTTTCTACGCAGTACCCACCCCCACCTGACCAACAGCACCCCAGAGACAGGCAACCGAGCAAGGCAGCCTCCCAAGCTCCCGCCCGCTTGCACGAACTCCTGGCCGCAATTAACTCAATGCAGGCGCTGACTGGCTGGTTGCCATCACCTCCAACCACGATCAGCTCTGATCACCATCACCACCCCAGCGCATGGACGATAGCTGCCACAAAGGTGGTAGCCGCGTATACGCTCCCAGCCTTGGGGAGACAACCACCACATATTTACTCTTTTCAGCCTCCTCGCCACACCAGGTTTCCATTCAGGTGGATGAGCTCATGGAATGCGCCTCTTCAGCTAGCCCAGGTACTGTTGAAACATGTCTGTCCACCAACTGCATCTAGGCAGCCACCTATCTGCGCACTGTCTATGCAACTTTCATCTTCCAATAAGGCTGGCTCTGCCTTGGTGCGACCTCCCTGTTCTCTTGATTCCTTCCACTATCTAGCCCAGAGTACGTCCAGGGTTCCGCGCTGAGCGCGAGATGTACACTACTCTTAATCCCATCTCCAACACTATAAGAAAGAGGTGTGGATGCTCGGGTCCTTGGCTCGTACATCCCCGGCCAACATGGGCAGAAGCCCTTTTGGGGTTAACCCAGTCGCCGCCCTTGCTCAAGCTTACTGCTTCTGACTTGCTTTCTTGCTATTTCTTGCTCTTGAAGCGGCTATATTCGCGGACTTAGCGCGCTATCTATTGCTCTAGCAAAGATTCAAACTTTGTTACTGGTCGTGGGTCGCTGCTTTTTCGTCGGTAAGCTCAAAAATGAAATCACCTTCAAGGCCTTCTCCTACCACGGCATGGCTTTGAAACCAAGAAACCAGTGTTGAATAGGATTGCTTTTCCAGCACCAACACCGAGAATCAGAACCTTGATTCGCAAGAGATGCAGGTTGGAGCGCAGGGTTGCAGCTCCCTACTAGCTCGTGCCTGATATCATCAATAGCAACAGTTCGTGATGAGCATCTCACACTGACAAGCGACTGACATAAAACATGGCACATCCAGAACCTCCAGCGTTCAATTCTGACACAATATCAAAATAATCAACCTAGTAATAAGCTAAATACCGTCGTAGAATCATTTATCATTTTCTTATTATTGTGTTTAGGATTATAAATAAGAAAACCAGGTCCCTACCTTGTGAAAAGGGCTTGATTGAGTGTGCCATGTTTTATCTCAGCCACTTACTGATAGCTCACCTAAAAGCGGCACAGCTCAACGACCCAGAGTGGACCCAAGTCGACGAGCAGCACCTCCTTGCGAATTCCATCCATCCATCACCTGATCCGAATCGCATCATTTGATGCTAGCCCACGGCATAAGTGAAACATTGCGCTTTCGCATGCCATTCCTCGAAGCAATGCCATCGCTAGCGGAGGGCTGTGGCCGCTGTGCCGTTCCACGCCGCCATCAACATTCGTGGGTAGAGAGCAGACCTGGGGAGCTTATCTGATGTCTTGGCCTGCCAACAGTCGTATGCAGGACACGTCAAGTGATTTGCCAGCCCCTGTGGACCTTCTGAAATGCTGCATGAGCCAACATGCTGACATTTGAGACATCCATCCGATCCATCCTTTCTGACGGCAGCCACCAACATGCAGCCAACAGGCAAGGTCACTGTCCATTGTAGGTAAATTATCCCGAAAACCCGGCGGATGCTTGCGCTTGGTAGGTAAAGTCCATGGATGCCAAATACTACCTACGCAACGAGTTCGCAAGATACTCTATTACATTATGGCGGCATGGTTGGGTACCTACATGAAGGCTGCCTCTACCGGCAGGGATGCGGCGAGCTCAGTGTAAGCCCGTGTCATTGGCGTTGAGATACACAGCTCTCTGCGGACGAGCCAACAGCCATTTCCCAAATTGTAATTTGATCCTAGACATAGATAAACTTTGAACCATCGCAGCTTTAGAATCAATCATGTTCCCTCTGACATATCTTGGAGCGAGATAACAAAATGGCATTGAGCGTCGACGAGGTACTTCAGCCCAGGTATCTTATCAGTACGTTAATCCGGCCCCGCGATAACGTCACAGAGGTCCTGCACCAGCCCAACACCGTCCTGGCATGCATCCAGGAATTCTCCTCACCATAGATCGAGAAGGGCTTCTCGCGACACAAAACTCGAGGCCTTCTTCTCCGGAATTGGTGCCGTTCAAATGATCCCATCTTCATTGCACTCCGCTTTACCGGCCAGCCTCACATCGTCACCTCTTGTGCACTTCCAACATGGCCAGTCACGAGTCCTCCGCCATTAAGCACAGCGACCACCTGCTCCTTGTAAGTGCCCACACCCGCCCATCTCTCGCTTCCTCTGCTTCGAGGTAATTATATATAATTACTAGGCTAACAAGTATGTTTCTCTTGCTCTTGAATTGCAGGATCAGCCGCTTCTCCGCCTCCCGAACGAGCTCCTTCGCAAGAACTTCCGGTCAGCCCACTTTGTAATCGAGAGGGATACATCGGCCTTGAAGAACCTCCTCAAGGAGTCCGCCACCGCGGCGGTGTCCGGCCGGGCCTCGCAGCAGGATGTCCTCAAGAACCTCGACGCCATGATCACCCGCATGCGGGGCGTCAAGCGCAAGCTGTCCCAGTATGCGGGCGAGGAGGCCCGCCTGCACGAGCACACCGCCGCCCGCATCCAGCATCTCGACGATCTCTACGGCATCAACACCGTCGAGGATGTCAAATATGAGGCATGGAGCAGGAAGAGGCTGGATAGGCTGCTTGCCGACTACTTCCTCCGGAACGGGTTCCACGAAAGCGCCAAGCAGCTGGCCAAGGAAAGAAACATGGAGCGGCTGGTGGACGTCGAAACCTTTGAGAGCATGGGGCGGATCCGGCTCGCTCTGCTAGACGGGAGCGTCACTGAAGCTCTGGCTTGGTGCGCAGAGAATAAGAAGGAGCTTCGAAAGATGGAGGTATGATCTTAAATCACCGCTCAACAGCCCATCCTAACCAGTCACTAACATGCCGAGGTACAGTGCAGGCTAGAGTTCATGTTACGGCTTCAACAGTACATCGAGCTCATCCGGGCAGGCACCCAGCCCAAGCTTGTCGAGGCCATCACCCACGCCAAGAAGCATCTGGTCCCGTACCGCAGCCAGCACCCTAGGGAGGTTTCCCAGGCCTGCGGTCTCCTCGCCCTCCCCCCCAACTCTCGCAACGCGGAGGACTGCTATGCCGACCTCTACCGCCCTCGCTGGATCGAGTTGGCCGATCTCTTCACCACCACCCATAATCAACTGCTCTCTCTCCCCTCCGTCCCACTCCTTCACATCGCCCTCTCATCTGGTCTCTCCGCCCTCAAGACACCAGCCTGCCACGCTTCTACAACGAACCAGGGGGGTTCAGTTCACGCCCATCAGGACGACCACAGTTCCCAGGACCACGGCGTCTGCCCCATCTGCTCAACAGAGCTCAACGACCTCGCCAAATACGTGCCGTATGCCCATCACACCAACAGCCACGTCCAGCCCGACTTGGTCATGTTCCCCTCCGGGAAGACCTGCAGCAAGCAGCGTCTCGTAGACGAGGCCAAGAAAGCCGGCCTCCCTCCGTACCAGGTCAAGGACCCAATGACGGGCACGCTGCACCACCAAGAGGACCTCAAGAAGGTGTACATAACATAACAAGCATTCTTTTCACGTTCTCGTTCTTTCATCATTCCATGCCCCCCTAGTTTGGTATACCTGGGGGGAAGGGGGGGGGGCGTTTTAACGTATTGATTTTACAGCCGGGTTCCATTATTCTTTTATCCTTGGGTGTGATTACAAACAGCATTCATAACATTTGCTTCGTGAGTTCATGGGGCACGTGTCGTTAGGTACCACAATATCAATCTCTCCTCAATCTGGCGATTGAAAGTGGGAGAGGCATTCATAACAACCAATTAGCATTAGCAACGGAAAGGGACACACCCCAAGCGTATTCAGAGTTCTGCATTCGTCTATTCCATTTCCATTTTTCCAAGCATCCCGATAATGAGTGTAGAGGTTCGGATGTGCAATACCAATATCGTATCGGTAAAACTTGTATGTGTGTTGCCAAGAAAGAAATGACAAGACGAGAGAAAAAAACGAAACCGAGAAAAAAAGAAGAGGACACCACGCATAGAAAAACACAAGAATCCATCGCAACGGAGCCCCGATACAATGGAAACAGAAACCCCTTTTCTCCCCCTTTGGCAACAGAACCCTCCCGCGCAAAAGAAGAGCATTAGAACCGCGCCAACCCTTCCCGAAAAGAAAAACAAAACAAAAACAAATAGTTCGTCGAAACAATGAGAATCGTGCGCCAAAACCCTAGGGATAAAACAGACGACCAAGAAGCTCCAACACCACACACCCCGATTGAGCACTCCCTCCCCCCTCACCCTTTTTCGTGACGAAAAATATCAGATTACCGAGTAAAAGCGACGAGCCAAAATGATAAAATTGAAAACTCCGTTCCAACCCTTTCCGATGTCCATAGTAGTACACCACCTTCAAACAAGGAAATGAGTCACGACCTAAAGGGGGGGCAGAGTTGCCTTCCTGACAGGATCTGGGTTTGTTGTTGATTTTTATGGGTTATTTTTTCTTATTCCGCCGTCCGTGGGAAACTGAAACGAGCGAAGCTTGGGGGGTTCCGAAGGGATTCGTCCCGTTGTTTTAAAAAAGACAGATATAGGGGACGGGAGAAGTAGAAGGGTGCTTCAGTATATTGTGCTGCTGCTCTTCTGGCTTCCTTTTGTTCCTTTTTATTTTTCTTCATGTAAAATGTCGAGATTCGGTGACCTCCTTTCCGCCTTGCCACTCCACCGTCCAATGTTCCCGAGTTTCCCCATGTTAGTTTCACTGCATCGGGTCCATTCGGCATCCACGCACAGCGTCCTATCTGCTGTTGCCCGCAAATGCAAAGTTGCCAAAGACGCCGCCGCCACCTCCGGGTGTCATCGGCCCCATGTGGGCCAGGCCGTTGGTGTTGTGGCTCTGGGCGGCCGGAGTGGTCGCCAGGCCGATGGTGCCGTTATTGGGCGTGCTTGGGGCTCCTCCGTTCTGGTTGTTGGATCCGTTGGTATGGCCGGCGTCGACGCCGCCCCCCTGGTTCATCATGGGGGGCATGATGAGGTGGCTGGAATCGGGGATCCCAAGACCCCAGACCTTACCGACGTGCTCGTCGGGGATCTCGCCGTTGAAGATTTTGTCCCGCATCTGGAAGAAGACCTTGCCAGTGAGCAACGAGTCCGATCCGGCCTGGTGAGCCGACCCAACACGCTTAATCTTGAGCGTCTCCGCGATGTTCTCGAGCCCCGACTTGTGCTCGAATTTTTGTAGAATGTCAGCAACGCTGGGGTCGAGTGGTGTCAAGAACCCCGAGTTATGAAGCTTGATGGCAAACTTCATCAGGTGCTTGACGTCATATGTGCTGGGGAAATACAGCTTCATCTTGTGGTCAAAGTCGACCTCGTCGTTGGGGAGAGCAGTGCATATTAATAACTTGGTTAGGTACCCAAAGTCGTATCCTCCATGGAAAGAGATCCACCGAACATTGTCGAAGCAGACCATGCCGGATGGAATGAGAAGAGCAGCGAAGGCGTGGGGGTCGATTCCGTCTCGTTCCAAGAGGTTGAAATCGATGCCGGCCTGCTGCAGGGACTCGATCGACTTTTCGTTGTACATATCCTCCTTAAGGGAGAACTTGAAGTTGAACTGCCACGAGCATGGAAACGCGGCCTGGTTGGTATTCCGTCGTCCACCTGGCCCCAAGTCGATATCTGTGGATGCTGGCCTGGCAGGTGGCGTCTCGCCGTCCTCGTTGAATAGCGTCAACCCGATCTGGATAACCTTGAGCATATCCACATTCGTTCGTAAGCATTGATAATGGTAGTCACTCTTCCCCCGAAATCCTCCCATCGGTCTTGATACGACACCGGGGAATTCGGTGTCCTGCAGTTGCATCTGTAAGCCAAACGGGGAACACCTCAACTTCAAGTGGGTGTCTGCGTCCTTACCATAGCAATGTAGGGATACTTGTCTACCAAATCTCGCAATACGGCCATCTCCTCGTGCAAGTTGTGAGCCCACACCTCCCTTATCCTTCCCCTACTCTGATTAGGTCTGATCTGTTGATGCTCTGCGAGGCCGTGATGGAGGTGGCCAGCGTGGTGAGGGGGCTGCATGCCAGCACCGGGGCCATGCGCAAAACCCATCCGCGCACTCTGGCTACCGAAGCCTGTGTCTGGGAAGCCGGCCCCCCCGCCATTCAGCCCAGCTGCGCCAAAGGCGTTGCCGTTTGCGCCGGAGAAGGGATTCATCTGGGCGTTGGCATTGAGGTATTGATTCGCACCAAGAGGCCCGCCGTGGGGCTGGGCGTGCGAGGGGAATCCAGGTTGATGGAACGGCGCGCCGACGCCAGGGCCGGCGCCGAAGGCCCGGATTGGGGGTGGCATGTGGCCGAAGTAGCCCTGGGCTCGTCCAGGGATGGAGAAGCTCTGAGGATGGCGCTGGTTGTACGGAAGAAGACCCGGCGGCGGAAATTGAGTGCGATACGAGACCGGTCGCCCTAAGCCCAAGCTATCTCGGGGATTGCGGCTCGGTGTCGGGAAGTTGTGGGCGGCGGGATGCGGGAAGAAGTGAGATGACGAAGGCGGTGGTGGTTGGTAGGCTCTGCCGGATGGCGGTTTCTAACGCGTCGTCGTTCTGGTCTGGAAGTTCTTCACACCGTCTCGCTGGTTACTCATTGAGTCCGAACTGGCGTGTGCGTGCGCCTTGGTCGCTACGGATCACGAATGCCAGGTTCGCAAGGTAGCGAAAGGTCGAGATCCAAGGCAGAGCGGCGGTGCCAGTTGGGCGTGATAAGGATACCTGATCGCGGGGAGGGGTCAGTGAGCCTGGCACAATCCGGTCAGGACGCAATCGAGCTGGACAGTTTTGGATGTTTTTTTTGTCCAGACGAAAATTATACAGATAAAGAAATTCAAGTGCGGCGGCGGGATAGTGGGCTGAGAGTGATTGAAGTGAAGTGCAGTCCAGATGCTCTATCGAAGATGAAGTGTGAGGTGGAATGCAAGGGGAGGTCTGGAGGTGGTCCGTGCACGGATGTTGGAGCGCCGGAACTTCTGTGCTACTTTGTTCCGAGAAACGACTCGTCCGACACCCTCCAGTCCTCACGCTCGCCATCAATTGGATCCAGCTTGACCGATTGGCATCACCACACGACTGTTCAACCGGTAATATGTTCGCCTCAAGGTAGGATTCCTCGCCCAGAGCCACCCTGCCGCCCCAGAAACTGACAATTCCCTCGCAACAGGGTATTACGAGCGGCCCACGGCGGGTCCAAAGCCAACATCACCGGTTTCAACATGCGCGCCTTCAAGGCCTCCACCGGCCAGCCCAGATACGACCCCTGGGAGCGAGCGTACGTCCATTCTCACCATATAGGCCTCTTCTCCAGACCCGAATCGACCCCTTTGCATCTTCCCCGAGACTAACAACCCCCCAGTGAGGCATGGAGATACCAGGGCCCCTTCACCCGATGGAACCGATTCAAGGGAGGTCTCCCCGGCCTGGGAACAGCTTCCGTCGCTTTCGCCGGATACTGCCTCTACGAGCACTTCTTCCTCGAGGAGGAACACCACCACGGGGATGACCACGGCCATGGCGAGGAGCACCACTAGACACGGCGGCGATGCATTGAAGATGGGAGGGCAAGGTGGAAAGAAAAGTGTACATATATATCACACTTGCTCAACAGCTAGTGAGCAATTTTCTAGGGCAATAAATTCGGTCAAATCATGTAGAACGGCCGCCAAGTGAAGCCGACACAAGAGCAACCAGCTCCTACGTCTTGAGCAAGCCGAGCTAAAATCGACCAATGAGCGACATTCTATTTGAAGTGGGCACATGGCCTGCCTCGTAACAACCTACTCAAGAACGGCTCCTTCATATATTCTTGGCAGCCATATCAAGAAAATAAACAACCACATCTATCAGTCTCATTCCTTCATTGATTTAGAATTTCGAGTTGAGAACGCAATCGGGCTCCTGTGGCTGGAAGTGAAAGTTCTTGATGAATCTCTGAAAGCATGGCACGCAAATCATTCACTGAGCACGAACCTCCAGTTCATCTTTTTCTTTCAGATGGTTCAATTTCAAACAGGTATTCTGCTTCATAACACCAGTTATGTATATATGAGGATATCTTCCCAAGCGCCTTGAAACTCAGACCTCAATCCCAATCATAACGCCAAAATCAACGAGCTGGGGTATACCTTGCCGGAGATAATCTCTGGCCTTAAGCTGCCAATCCCTTTATTCCAAAACCTTGCACAATATCCAGAGCGCCCTCAACCGCACTCTCTAATTCTCCCACTCTCTCTTTCAGGCCCTTGTTCTCATCTTTTAGTAGGGTGACAGTATCCCATGCCACGCTGGCGTCCTGACCAGAACAGTTTCGACATGAAGCCACACCGGCTGTAGAGTTGGCATCGCCCGATATGCCCTTGAACAGTTTTTGAAAGGTATTCATCTGTGTTGCCTGTGGCGTCGGAGGCTGCCTCACAACTCGAAGGGCTGGCGAGGCTGGAGACCTCATTGGTGGCAGCGCCTGGTCAGCATGGCTGAGCTCCGTCACGGTAGTAACAATGGTGGGGCTGCGCGATCTTGAAAAGACACTGGCTCCTTCGATGCTCTCCTCGTCCGTCTCAAAGCTCATATCCGACTTTGCAGTACAGACACTCCGTCTCCAATGTCTGTGCTTCTGGTCCTCTTCCACGCCTAAATCTTCCGATGGTGTTGACTCGCCCGATACAGACGTGCAGTTTTCGCGGGCTTGCCTCTCCTCCCGCCTCAGTCTCTTCTCGATCGCGAGTTCCTCCATCAAGGCTTGCATAGCTAGTTCCTGTTCAGCGGCTTTCTGTGCCATACCCTCCAGCTGAATCCTAAGATGATGCATTCTCGTTTCGGCTTCCTCTTTTTCGTCATCCTGGACGCCATGCTCTGCCTTGAGTTCCTGGTAGTCAATCGTCTTTTGCTGGTAGGCAGACTGGAACCGCTCCAATAATCCCTTGGCAGTCATCTGTAGATTCTTATACGCAGCTGGCGAGAAAGTATTGGAATTCGCGTCGACACCCCCCGGATACAGTGCACTCTCTATATCCATTGAAATGAGTTCGTCGTCCTGAGGCACCACCACTGGATTAGACGTCGACCGCCCCTTCAATGCAGCCATGGACGAGGTGAAGAAGGCGAATCGAGAGCTTCCAGCTGGTGATGAGGGCTTAGAGTTTGGCGTCCGACTACCTCCCTGGAACTTGGCTGGACGTGTCGGCGTGGTATCTGGTGAACCCACGGGCTGGTCTTGGCCCTCGGAAATCGAGGGGCTTCGCCATGGTAAACCGCGATCTCGAGGGCTACTCGCTGGTTTCTTCTTGTCTCCGGTGTACGACATTTCGACGCTTGTGGGATCAGGGCCCGGGCTGATTTCGGGAGGCTCGGTGAAAGTCAGGGACTGGCGCAGAGGCGACCGCTGTTTAGTCGGGGAACCGCTCTCTGGCCGGCTGGTAAACAAGTAATCGCGTTGCCTAGAAGCTCCAGCGGGTGAGGCAGGACTAGGAGTGAAGGGACTTGCAGAACTGGCCAAGATGCCGTCGCACTGCAGACTCAGGGGAGGAGGCGAGGTCAATGCGGTCTGTACTGTGCGAACCGATCGAGGACGGTCATGATAGCTTTGCTCTTGGAGCTGGCTGTAGGCGTTATGACCGCGATGCCCCTGGACAGGGGATCCATCCTCCATCGCATGGGAGCCTAGCTGCTCTAGCATAACGGCGTTGTGGGGAACAAGGCTCCCGTAGATTGCTCGTACGAGCTAGTCAATGCGCATCAAGGCTTGACAGTCCGCGTTTGGCTAATGAAACGGATCAGAGGCCTTTATCTGGAGTCAAATCCGGCACCTGGTATCTGCTTTGGCCGCTTGCGTCTTCCTCCTCTACAATCCTTGACCTCGGGCTTTTTTTGGTCCCTGGCCTAGCTTTTCTCCGTAAGAGTAAGATCCAGAGGAGAATGTTATTTTTGGTGGATGGGTAAGCTATATCGATAGCTCGCTCAACATCGGGACCTTTGCCTTGCTAGCGAGGGCCGGCTCGTCTGTCAGACTTTCACAAGGCCAGCTTGACTAGCTAGCGGGAGATTTGAGGATGATGAATCGGATCTGAAAACAGGCAGGACATGGAACAAGAGTGCCTAGGCTGGCTGGATGGACGGGTGCTATTTGTCTGTCGTCGGCCAGATGCGTGGGGAATGAGGAGGCGGAATGTTTCAAGTTGCCGGGAGAGAGGTCGATCACTGGCTGATGGTGAGGAATGCCGATGTTTGAGAGTGGCGCGCAGACTGGTCGCCGGGTGCAACGTATGACGACGAGTGTATCATCCGTGATGCGATGAACAATGAGCAAGCAATACTGCGGTGGAGGAGGAGGAAAAAGATGGCACGCTGAATGGGAGACGCAGCCAAGGTAAACATGGAGGCTGAACTGTGGGAGGCACCACAGCGACTCGTGGTTCGTTGGGCACGTCTTCTGCAGTCGAGGGCCTAGTGTTAGTGGTGCATGGCAGAGATCCATGTTCGTTGCCTCTAGATTGGCTGACGGCCTCTGTTACGGACAGGCTGTGGGTGGATCTGGTGTGCAGCCTCCGACAATTCTTGGGCTCTGTACATGGGAGAAAGCAGCACCCCAAGTGCAAACTCTCCCTGGCAACTGCCGACCTGGGCACTGTTTGCGTCCATCTGTCTCTGCAAGGGAAGGAAGCTACCTCGCGACGTTACCTCCCATCGACTTATTCACGCATGTATCGTACATACCCCTGCCTTTCGCAGTCCCTGGCCTCGCTAGCGGCAGAAGAATCACATGCACCTACCCGAGCACCTAGAGGTTTAAGATACAGTCTGTCTGTTTGAGGGGTTCATCAATGGTCTCTCCGTTCCCCCACTCTGGAACTCATTGTCTCATATCGCCCCGCCTGTGCTTGTCTGCTCAGCTGATGGATGGATCTGCACTACTCGAGTCTGTATAGAATGGATAGACAATATACCTACTGTATGCTTTGTACGTCGTATACATCTGGTTCCATGTGACCCAGATCGGAGAGCAGGCTTAGAGCATTACATGGGTGTGTGCTCTGTGGCGGGAAAGAACCACCAAAAAAGGTCTGGCAAGATGCGTGTTACGACCGTACAGGCTCTCTCGAGTCTTATGCTGTGTGTCGTGGAACCAATGCCTGTGTCTTGCCCTGTGGTCGAGACCGAGGCGCATCCATGCCTTCAATTGTCTCCTCCAGTGAGGAAGAGCTGCCGATCAAATACTCAGAGAATACGAGGCAAGGGCATACCGGGTCTACGCAAGTATATCGCTGAGTGAGTCTACGTAGTCCACCGTCATTTGGCCAAGGCCAGTCATCCCCAACCCCACTGCATGCACGATTCGAAGCGAGGGGCTCAGCTCCAGCCAGCATCGTGTCAGCAGGGTGACAAAAGAAATGAGACACCAAAATGATGAGCAACCACGCTATCTGCAATAGCCAGAATAATATAGCACAGATGATGATATAGGGTGTGTTCCTTGTTTGCTCATTACCATCCCAACAGGTGAAAGACACTCGCCACAGCCCCAAAGCAAGGCAGGACTAGATCTGTGGTGTGTGGATTTCAATGTTCCTGGTTGTGAGTCTGGATTTGGAACTCTATCCGACGTTAGGAATAGGTACCTAAGTAGCCAGCTTTAACAGCAACATCTAGACTTTGATACTCTGCATCCTAAACCTCAACTTCCGTCTATTGTAATCAAGACCATTACTCTTCCCTGCCCGTTTTAAGGATATCTCTAGTCTGCCAACCAACACAAACAAGTGCTTGCACCTACCCATTCAGTGTTGATTGACCCCTAGACGAGGCAAGTGCATTCCGGGAATATCAACACCATCGTAAGCCCTTACTTCCAATGCCCAACTTCGAGAACTGTAGATGTCTCCCCCATCATGTTGCATGTCTTCACTTCTTCCAGTCATTTCCAAGTCTACGAATCAAAACATCCATTATCACATCATACTTCCTCTCCGTCTTGATACCATCACATAGCAGCATCCATCAACACCAACCACACACACACACCATGTATAGACAACGCCGACACCCCTCCAGGGTGGCCCAGTTCCTCCTCACCACCCAGCTCATCATCTTCGCCATCTCCAACCTCGCCCTCCTGGCCCTCTCCTTCGTCGCCATGTCCAACGCCAGACGCCAGCCAGACGCCATATTCCCAGACTGGGCCGTCTACAACTACACGGCCGCGGCCGCCGGCGTCGGCTTCGCCGTCCTCTTCACCACCTTCATCACCGCCCTTGGTCGCCACCGCCGCGCCTCCGGCCCCGGCCCGTTCCTGACCCCCCGCTACGTCCGTCGCTGCACGCTCTTCACAGTCGCCCTGCACGCCGCCGCGCTGCTGCTGGTCTTCCACGAGGCGTACGTCTGGGAGCAGATCTCCCCGGGGGAGAAGCACCAGATCCCCTGGTCTCTGCTCACCATCAAGCACGTCGTCGACCTCAAAATAGGCGGCTTTGTATTCAAGATAGCCGGTCTCACCATGTAAGGTGCTTTCCCGGGTCTATCGTATGGGTATCCAGGCTAACTCGCAGTTTGAATTCAGTCTCACCGGGTCGCTATTTACAGGCCTATCTCTTGCGTTTGAGGAGCCATCCGTGAGAGAATACCCAAGTAAGGAGGCGGCGACAAGGTCTCCAAGCACGCTTCAGGCGATATAAGAACTGGAATTCATAAATTTTTCTGCTCTCGAGGCGTGTGTACGAGTACAGCGCTGGGGGAACTGCCGTCATGGGAACCAGTTCATTTTCCCCCTTTCTCACTACCTAAGATTAACAACGGGGAGCTGCCAAAAGTCGTAACATCATAAATAATAGATTCTATTCCAAACCTCAAGAACCGTGATCTCCTCACTGGCCTGTGAAACGCCTTTACGTAAAATCATCACCCAGCAAATTAAACCAGAGAAGAAGGCAGGCAAGGGAAAATCCTCCTAACAGTTTGAAAGGACAAACACCAATACCGGGTATTGTGGATTTGAAATGATTTTCCCCAACATCCTTTGCGTTCTGGCATGTAAACAACATCGAAACAAGTCCTCGCGTTGCACTAGAGGAAATCGGCGGTGGGGAAATACCGGCCTCCCGCGTAGCCTCGGGCCATGACAGTCTGGATGTCGATATTGCTGGAGGGATCGAGGTGAGAGTTCCACATCTTGAGGAGGATGAACCGGCCTGAGACTGGCGGGTCGAAGGTGAGTGAGCATGTGCTGCTGCGGCTGTCGATGTAGAAGCGAGCATGGGGTGTGAGGAGCCCGCCGCCGACTGCTCGCACTGCCTCTTGGGTGGCATTATTGTGCGCCTCGAGTGCCTCTGCGAAGGACATGGAGAAGGAATCCGAGGTATGGCTCTGGCTCTGGCTCTGGCTCTGGCTCTGGCTTTGGCTTTGGCTCGGGCTCGGGAGTTGATATAGGCTCAGATTGCTTTGGCGTTGGCTCTGGCCTTCACGACGCTCACGACGCTCACGCTGCTCACGAGCGAGTCTGAGGAGGTGGGAGGGGTTTCCTTGGTGGTTGGACGCAAGGAAGTCGTCAAAATCCAATTCGGAGGGACTGTAGTTGAAGGTCATGTCGTTGCTGGCGGCGTTGGTATTGTTATTTTCTTCATCGGAGTCACGGGACTCAAAGGGGAGGGAGCCAATTCGGTTCGGGGCTCGACGGGTGATGTGGCGGCCGTGTTCATCCAGGTCGTCGTCGTTGCACAGTATGGTTACACCAAACTCGGGGATGTTGGAGGAGAATTCCGGGGGCACCTTGACCATGCGGTAGCCTTCGCCTTCACTTCCGTTCGCATGAGCCCGCCTGATTCTTGCCGCGGTCGTCCCATCATGGTTATAATGAATGGTCCTGCCAGGGTGGCTTTCTCGCTCTGGAGTTGTTGCCAGCGGGTCTCGTTGATGGAGGGGCGAGTAGTCGAGCTGATATTGAGCGGTGCGGGTGAGAACTTCATCCTGGCGCATAGCTATGAAGACCATGCCCTCGCGTACCCTGTGTGCCAGGAGTCAGTCGCAGCCTGTGATAGGGAGTTTGGGCAAGACTTACGGATGCGAATAATTTATTGAAGTAGGGCCCTTGATGACGAGCTCATGTAGAGTGAAGGGTGCCCCGCCTTGATGACGGAGCACAACATTGCACCTGCTTCCCTTAGTGCAGTATACGGTTTCATCATTCTTTAAGAGGTTCTCTGCTGCATAAGAAGATGGGTTTGACGATGTGTACGAGCCTCCATCGCAGCTCAAGATTTCCATCCGCAGCGCCCCAGGCTCAACCGACCCGTATTTGCCATAGCGGATGCGCGAGATGGTGGGAGCAAGTCGGTCAGCATCAATCTTCCGTCGCTTGTTCCGGCGGTTATCCTCTGGCGGGTCAAAAGATCTCGGTAACGGCGAGGCGCTGCCTGGTGGCAAGGTGTGGCTCATGGTGTTATGGTTCGTCAGGTCCAAGAGGTCCCTAAGCTGCAGATTCGTCAGGTCGGAAGCTTGGTCTAGCTCGTCAAACGTGGCCCACAGAGAGTCAATGTGGGTTCTGTTCGCGCGAAGGTTTTGCTCGTTGCCGGACTGGTCGGGGGCTCTCTGGAAGCCGCTGTATTCGTCAATGCTGCGGATGCGCTCAGCTCTCCGAGCGAGGCTCGCCAAGCCTCCCGAATGTGGTGGTGGGAGAGGTGAGGTGATGAAGTCGTCCCCCTGTCGAGTGAAGGAACGCACCCCGGGGAGTGGAACGGACACTGCTGGGAAACTCAGGCGGCTGCTGTTGTGAGGTTCACGTGGACGCGGGCGGCGAGAGTGGGAGCCAGATCTTGACGACATGGTTCAAGAACCCGGCACACCACCCCATATGTCGGCAGAGGGGACAAGCCTGGCAGACGGACTGGATGCCAGCAACGACACGAAGATGGAAGAGAAGAAGGTAGGAGGGGAGAGTCGGGCAATGCGGTTAAAGTGGTGCAAGGCCGGGCGACGGCCGGGTATCGCTGGTGGTGGTGGTGGTGCTATGCAGTAAAGTAAGGTAGGTATGGATGCCTTGCTGGCGGGCAGCGAGGCAGCATCCGCTAATAGTGATGCAGATGGTAATAGGCGGGTGCTTTGCCGTCGGGGTCCAGTGGGTGCGGGAACAGCACGTGCGGACTCAGACTGGGGACGCTCCAAGGCACCAGTCGTGGGAGGCTTCTTGTCGTTTCTGCGTCTTCGTTTGGGACTCTGGGAGTGCGGGAGGAGACGAGTGGGAAAGGAAGAACGGAAGAATCAAGAGAGCAAGGTGACCTGCATGGGTGGAGTGGGCAAAGCGCACATGGGTTGATGACGGGATTGTGTCGCCAGGCGGTGGAAGAGTTTAAGCCATCCTTCTCGAGGTACTTCCCTTCTTTGGGGTACTCAGATTAAGGCGGTCTTACTATTATTACCTTGCTCGATGCTAGTCCTGCTAGGTAATGCTTCCGACCTGCTTCCTCATGTGAGGAGGTGTGGATATTCGCTGTAGGTCCCGTCGTTATCGGCCTATTCATTGCTCCCTGGACACATGTGGCTGGCCGAGGGCTGAGGTATCACATCACCCCCCCAAACGAGCATGTCATGATATCAGCCCTGAAGTGCCTTTTTCACGCATAAAGTACCTACCTACTAGCATACGAGGTAGCCAAACCTTGTCAACGGGCAATGCCCTGTGTCCCAAACATCAAATCTCGTACTGCAAGCTACTCATTTCATTTCAACGTCTCTTGAATATGGCCAATGGTGGCCTGTCATGGGTGCATTCCAGACACTTACCAAGGCTGGCGCCGAGGACATGCAGGACAGTACAAATTGTTTCAGAGCTTGGGCGATGATGCAGCATTTCTCATGCTCGTGCCCGTCAGTCGTGGGGGCGAATCGGAACCCGGCCACAGCGAGGTATATACTCCCGGTGCCAGAGGCGGTAAGTTATGTAGATTGATTTAGAACTCATTTGTGAAGGGAGCTGCAGGTGATACTATATAGAATGCTGGTGAAGATGATTGGTAGCCCATCCTCCATATCCCGGGCTCATAACCTCCAGCTGATTAAAGTATGAACGCATAGAAAACATGGATCGAGAGAGAATTCGCAGTAGACAGAACAGCAGGAAAGAAATGCGCCAAGACAGGACTCTACGGAAACCCGATAGGAAGCATGGCTCCCCCAGAGTGGTGGGGTGGAGTGGCCCTGTAGTAGCAATGCAGCTCGCCGACGAGGTACAATCTCCAGGCACGAGGCATTGTCGCCCTGGACATGGACACTGGGTGGCGACGGAGGCGAAAGGGAGAGAAGCATGAGGGGATCGACGCACTGGTCTGGAGGGCGATAGTACAGTCCACAGGCCACGGCAAGAGCTGCCTGCCTGCGCACCTGCACTCGACTAAGGTGGGCAGGAGCGCCTGCTGCAGCCTCGAGACTCGATTCCTGAAAAGCTTCGTGGATCCAACCCCATCTGCCCCAATTAGGCTAGCGCATTCTCTTTAGGCCTGCGCCAGTGTGTCGCCCCCGAAACTGATCACCAACACGGCCAACAGATAATACACAGAGACAAACAACACGCTGCTAGAAACCAGCTTTTATTTATTGTTCTACTTTTTTTTTCTCGCTTGCGTGCTCGCATAGACTTCCAAGTTCGTTTCCACCGGTGCATAGAGTTCCCCCACGCAATATCTACCACCCCAAGCATATCCAGTTGAGACGATACAAATTAGAAGCCAGACAGTGCTCTGGCCGACCTGACGGATCCGAAAAAAGTGCTTGTGCTTAGTCGACTAGGTGGTTGGATCTTTCAGCTGGGCTGAACATCTCTTTGCCGGTTTCTCGTGCTCGGTGTGTTCTTTTTTCTTTTTCTTCACGACAGCCTGCAACATCTCATCTCTTCCTCACCACGCGTCTGGATCATATTGCATCCTTCTCCGAGGACAAGGCTCTAGCTTGCCATCGGCTCCACCCTCCTCGCGCATCACCTCCATCCAACATTTGTTCGAGGGTTTCATCCATCACCATGGAGCAACCACCAGCGCCAGCGCCGCAGTCTACTGAGGCACCAGTTAAACAGCAGCAGAACCCTCAGACCACCGGTCCTGCACCCCAGATGGCCCCCAATGGTCTTGGCCCTATGGACCTGCCCCAGATTCCCAACCCGACCCTGATGGATCCCGAGGCTATGGCTGCCATCTTACCTACACAGTCTTTCATTCCAGACCCTTCAATGATGGCCATCCCAATGCCTGATCCCCATATGATGGCAATGCCTCTCATGATGGCAAACGGCAACACCCCTGCCGCCCCAGCTCAGCCCAAGGAAATCAGCGCAGGTACCTAGTCTTCTTACCGACATTATATTTCTTTCGCGATGGGGGTTGCTAATTACTGAACTTTAGATGATATCGCACTCTATGATCGCCAAATTCGCCTCTGGGGTGTGGCCGCTCAAGCCAAGATCCAGAGTGCTAACGTGCTTCTCATCACCATGAGAGCGCTGGCCAACGAGATTGCCAAAAACCTCGTCCTTGCCGGCATCGGCTCCCTCACCATTCTGGACGATACAATCGTTACCGAGGCAGACCTTGGTGCACAATTCTTCCTAGCTGGTGTTGAGAACCCCGTTGGTCAGAACCGGGCCCAGGCTGCCCACCCTGCTATCCAAAAACTCAATCCTCGCGTTCAGGTTCACATCGATGCAGAAGGCGTCAAGTCGAAGGGTCCCAGCTATTTCGCTGGCTTTGACGTCGTTATCGCCACCGACCTCGATTCAGATTCCTTCAACCTCATCAACACTGCCACACGGCTCAACGGCAGAAAGTTCTACGGAGCCAGCACGCACGGCATGTATGGCTTTCTGTTTAGCGATCTCATTGAACATGACTATGTCATTGAGCGCGAGGTGGGAAATATTGCTACTCAGCCGAAGCAGGAAACCCGAACCCGCTCGATTATTGATGTCAAAACGCGGAAAGAAGGCACCAAGAACATGGAGTCTGTCACCAAGCGTGAGCTCTTCTCCACTTGGTTCCTAGCCAGTGATATGGCAGGGCTGCCAGAAGAATACACCAAGTCCAAACGTCGTCTGAAGAGCGTTACCCCCGCCTTGTCTTGCTTGCGTGCCCTGTGGGAATTCACGCAGGTCAAGAGTGGCCAAGTACCCAGCAATCGCGAGGATCTTAAGATGTTTACTCAGATTGCCACTCAGAAACACAAAGCTCTAGGCCTGCCCAGCGAGACTCTCAGCTCTGAGTTTCTCCGTAGCTTCCTCCAGAACCTTGGCAGCGAGATTGCACCAGTATCGGCAATTCTCGGTGGCCAGCTCGCTCAGGACGTCATCAACGTTCTCGGCCAGAAGGAGCAGCCTATTCAGAACATGATTATCCTTGACGGAAATACCATGGAGTCTCTGATGTACCCGCTGCATCCTGAGGGTGCGCTTGGAACCCTCCAACTTTCCCTCGCGTCCAATGAACCTCTGATCCCCAACGGTGGTGCCGGTGGCGACGTCATGATGGGAGTAGGGATGGATGGTATACCGTTTGATCCCACCGCCATGGCCGCTATGCCAATCCCTGACGGCTTCCCAATGGGAGGAGCGATGATTCCCCCAGGCATCTCTATGCCAATCATCCCTGGGCAGATTGTCCCTGTGCTAGGTCAGCAGCCGGCAAATGGCACGGGTGAACACCTACCGACCCCCGACGCATCAATCGTGGCAGGCCTCCCCGCAGGAACTGCTCCTCCATCCCAGCCTTCCGCCGCGCCCAATGCAACTTCCGCCCAAAGCCAGGGACAACCTCAGGGCGAGAGCGAACCACCCAAGGGCTCATCTACTTGAAATAGACGAGGGTCCTCGTTGCATTCCGGATCTCCTTCGATCTACTCTGCGCTGTAGAAAGCTGCAAACCAAAACACTAAGATACCACGATAGATGGGAAACCAAGTTCAGCATAGCTTGTCCGTGTGGCTCCCACACATATTGAAAAAGAACATAGGGCCGGAGAAAAGAATTGAAAAGGGTGTTGGGCGGTAGGGTTGGAATAGAAAATCCAGGGAATGGTAGCTGGATCATTTTTGCTTTGCTTTCGGTCATCTACATGATACGATTTTCAAGTGCAGGACTTTCTTGCTTACTTCCTCGAAACTCAGCATGTGTACATATATTCTCTGTTCTGATGCAAATGAAACAAATAAAAAGTCCCATTTACAACCGGCATCGATACCTAGACCTCTGTTCTCTCATAATCACGCAAGCAGGCAAATTTTGGATATTTAATATGCAAAGGTCTTGGATTGACGTGTTAAGCACTGACCGTCATTCAATAAATATAAAGGACTACCATCAACTCTCGTTAGCTCAAGTTTTCATCCTCCCCTCCCCAAGGTCTGTTACATTATGACCGACTTCATTCGCCTCAGCTCACGTTCTGTCCGGCGTATTCGATGTGCAAATCCTAGCCAGCTCGAACACCTCAACCCTCCACCCACACGTCCTCTGTGGGGTCCAAAAGAAAAACCGAAGAAAGGCCCTGTAGGTAACAGGAAACCATATTTTCCATTTCCACGCAATGCCGAATCCAACCAACTCGGTAAATGACACGGGACACAAAAGAAGTAGGTTATAAACAAACAAACTAGCAAGGCAGGGGGGTATGTCCTCCCTAGCTTCCCTATAAATGCAGAAGGCCGAATAATGAGCCTGAAAACGCCTTTGAATTTTTTTTCTCGTGTTCAAGGCCACGAACTAACACACAGTCGAAGAAAAGTAAAGGCTGGAAATATATAGCAAGTCATATCACTTGCTTAGGTAGTTGATGTACGGTGCAGCCGTACCAGCGCGTTATTTGTGATTAAGCAGAGATTCGGAATGAAAGATAGGATGAAATGAACAAATATGCGTGCAAGGTTCAAGCTGGCCAGTAATAGAAAGCAGCCGCACGATATAGAGACTTCATGAGATGTTGTTATTGCCGCCAGGGCCATCTTCATCTAGATTAAGTCCATCTGTCCAAGTTTCGACCTTTTGACGCTTTCTTGGGCGCAGCCGCCTCTTCAAAGAATCTGCTTCGGTGGTAACAGCCTCCGAGACCAAATTCTCGCCAGTCCCGGGACCAGCTTCTTTGCCAGCCGCCTGCTCCGGTAGACTGTCCTTAATTTCTTCTTGAGTAAGTATATCACCCTCCAATTCAAGTTTAAAGGTTGTCCTTGATGGCTTGGGGGGGTCGTACAAAGAAGGAAGGCTATTTGCGACGCCAAGCTTGACACCACGGGGGGTTTTACTCGACTTGGATGACTTCTTTTTTGACACGCGGGAATTTGAGCCCAAAGGAGCTTCCTTCTTCTATCGGGAGTCCTCTCTGTCATTCGCAACATCCATCGTGTCACGTCTGTCCGAGCGTGGCCGTCGGCGATGTTGGTTGACGTTCCAACCCCGGATCTGCGTGGGACCGGAGTTAGGGAGGGCAGCAGCATCACCCGAACTATTCTTGTGATCATATGGTATTGTTTTGAGTTCCGGCTTGTTAGACCAGGACCTATGGGCTGGCATGGGGGCGGGCTGGAGTTTACGATATTTCGAGTTCAAGTCGGCTGCCGAGCCCGAGATCGAGCCATTAGATCGATGACGGAATGGGCCACCCAGCCCCATGCGCCCATCGTCTGGAGAGCCGTGGGTGAGAGGCGGGACTCCGAGTTGCATTGGAGCAAATGTCGGGGATGTGGTTGGGGGTCCATACGAAGGTGGCGGAGGAGGCGAGTTGAGATAACCAGAACCCGGTGGCGGTTGCTGCGGATTCGGCATTAGTCTATCGCTAGGACGCGACTGGAAACTGGGGAGAGGCTGAGCCTCAGGGGCCGGGTAGCCATGATGGTATTGCCTTGAAGGTCCAGAAGAATAAAAATTGCTGAAAGAACTCGAGGGAGGGTTCGGGCGCAAACCAGGATCTACCATCGACTCGTCCTGGAGAGACTGATTTCGAGCTCGTGGAGGCCGCAATGGAGGCAGAGGCTCTGCGGTTGCATGACTCGAGAATGGAACACGGGAGTGGCCCGTCGAGGGGTGAGGGGGTGGAAGGTAATGCTGCGAGGGCGGAGGGGGTTGAGCAACAGCAGGAGGTGTCTGGGGCGGAGGAGGACCAGAAGGAGGCTGCTGCGACCAGTATGTCCGACCATATGCCGAGTTTTCGGCGCCGTATCCACTCAAACGTCTCTCCATCCTTGGATCATACGATCGCTGGATGGGGGGGCTGTCCCTATATTCGGGAACGGGGTAGCCAGGGTGAGAAGAACTGTAGCCGCCATGGTCTTGAGACGGAGGAGGGTAGTGGTGGCCAGACGAATACTCCGGTACCATTGGTGGTGGGACCTGCTGTGATGTAGCAACATGATCCTGGATGGGTGGATATAACGGGCTCTCATTAGGAGGCTGCTGAATGGGCAAGTAAGGTCGATGGTCGCCGAGTGAATCACTCTGTCGAAGGATCGAAGGCGGTGCGAGCTGTTCTGGTTGTGAATAAGGCTGGCTGGGGCGGTCCATATTTTCCGCCGTCATCATCCTGGGTTCCCGAAGTGATGGGATTGGAGTTCCAGGTACATAGCTATTCTCCCTCTCACTAGAGATGGGGGGCTGCATCTCAACCGGAGGAAGGTAGCTCTGCGTAGGAACAGAACTGCTTGGTCCCTTGATATCATGCTCCACCGAAACAATTGCATTGCGAGGGTTGGAGAGGCAGAGCTCAGCCAGCAAATTAAGCTTAGCCTGCTCAGGTTTGGGTGTAGTCGCCACGGGAGCAGGCTCCGACTCAGCGACGAACAGATCACGGACTGCGTCATACTTAGCAGGCTTGGGAGGTGCTGGGGTGGCTCGTGCTGCCGCCTCTGCCGCCTCCTCTGCCTCTATAAAGGCAGCAGCATTGGTCAACGAGGACAAGTCTGGGCGTTCGGCTTCTGGCTGCTCTGAAGCCTGTTCCTCGTATTCGACTTCGTCGACTTCCTGCATTGGGGTGTCCTCTGACGAGCTGAGTCTAGTTTCGAGCTCTTTCTCGGCCGTTCCCAGTGACCTTGCACGTAGCTCCTCATCTGTAGGTACATACTCGCTGATAGACACTTCTTCCGTATCAATTTGGTCGATCTTACAGAACCTCCTAACGGAAGCGTTGAACTTTTGTCGCCAAGGAGCATCAACGGAGCGATGGTAGTTAACCGTCTTTTGGAAAGACCGAGATGCGTGCGAGATACGGCCAGAGGGGTTGGCGATGAAAACGATTGGCTTTCCAGGCATGTTATACGGCTTTGTACCTGGATTCTCGTTGCAGCTGTCAGGGAGGAAGATACCGTATTTTGGATGTACCCGATGTCGCTTCACGAGCTCTGCATCGAAATCTTTGGGGGTGAGGGAAGAGTAGTCGAAAGCGTTACACCAGTGATCAATGTGAAACCCATTACTGTTTGGAGTGTCCAGATACTTTCCACGCTTGGCGCGTGTATGACCCTTGGATGAATCATTGGAGCTGTCACGGAACCCAATGTCAAGATCATCAAATATGACACTTTGAGGGGCGATGATGCGGCTGTTGAGGATCTTGTCTCGCACAGAGGGTCGCTGGTTGTATACGCGAACACCATGCTCATCTGGTTCGGCGACATGCTTCGGCAACGGTGGACTCTTCTCTCGAGTGCCAAGCCTGCCTTGCTGTCTAGCCTGCATAGCAGAGAAGAAGCCCGATGGTTCAGGAGTGCCTGAAGCAGACTCTTCTTCGCCTGGTGTCCCCTCTGGAGCCTTCTCGACCTCAGCAGCAGAAGCGAGGAGGCCCTTGGCGGGAGCAATGGGGATGTTTGTGAGAAGCTGCGAATCGTCTGCGGCGAGACGTGATGATCTCTTGGGGGTTGTGGCGCCATCTGGCTGCTCCAGGAGCCTTCGCCTGATACCTCCTCGGCCTCGGCCCCTCCCTCTGGTAGGCGCGGCGGAGAGGCCTGAGGAAGCTGAGCTGGCGGCGGCGGCGGCAACGGCGGCGGCAGCCTCAGCCTCAGCATCGCGAGCCTTCTGCCACATATCCGTCCCTTCGACGCGTGATGGGTAGGGCACGAGGTGACCGTCTTTCATGGGTTCATATAGATTGAACTCATTGTCGAAATGGTCATCAGTGATTGTGATATACTCGTACTGGTCATCACGAATCTAATTGGTTGCGTCAGATTGGGCTCACGCTAACCAAACATTTTAAAGCGACGGCAGATTTTGGTTTGACAAAAACTCTGCGAAGGCTTAAATAGAAATTCTGGGGGACTTACATCAACAGGTAAATCTTTGCTATGCAAAGCGGCAAGGATGCGAAGACGATTTTCTTGGCCATCATAAAATTGCTCCAAAAGTTCCTCGACTCCGTTCTAGATGAAGAGAAAGTGAGGGTCAGCAAATGGTGTCTCTTCTAAATATCAATAGCAGATAAAGAGGAGAATAAAATATCATGCGATGTGACATACATTGAATTCCTGCTCAATGACATATTGCTCGTGGTTGTAGTTGGACTCTGCCAGGTTGAGGTCGCATTCAAGCCGCTTGTCATGCTCAGCTAATCTGTTGGTGTAATTCGCCTGGAGCTGGCGAATGACGGGATAGTGCTCCTCGACTTCTGCATGACGCTCAGGATTCTGCAGAAGATCATCGATGTTGCGCTCGGCCAGTTCTTGCAGGGCGGGCTTCAAAGCCTGAGCAACAGCCTGGTATGTGGCCTTGAGATCGCGCTGGCGCTCATAGGCGGCCTGGACGCGAGAATCTTGGAAATTCTTTGCTCGCCCTCTTCGAGTGCCACCGCGTCCTCCGCGAGTGGTAGTAGATTTGGTAACATTGGCACTGGAAGCGCCTCTGCCGCCTCCTCTACCTCTCCCACGGCCGCCGCGTCCGCCTCGACCGCGACCACGGAACCCGCTGGAGGTAGGGTCGCGAGCCGGCGAACCGTTCTCAGCAGCCATTGCAGGACTAATGAAGAAGGGTCATGAATTAAGTAAATGGGGTATGGAGAAGTCAAAGTAGTGGTACAGGAGAAATCTGGTGATGTAGTAGAAAGTTGAGGTTTGGTGTGAAGGATGTGATGTGTCCGGACAAAGAATGACAGCCGGAAAACGAGTCAAGGAAACAAATCACAATGGGGAATCGAGGGGCGGGGCGGACATCTGAATACAGGCCCAGGCTTGATCAGGGGTGTCCACAACGCGGGAAGAAAGTGAGAGATGGGTGAAGTGAAGACGGGATGTGATAGAAAGGTGAGGTGCGGCTCAGGTTTTGGGATGGATGCATAAGAGGGCGTTTGGCCGGGCCACAAGGATTTTGCCAGCCCCCAGCGACAAAGCACGACAAAGCAATGCAGCAAAAAAACACGTCCAAAGCAAAGGAAAGATGCAAGAAAACACACTCAATGCCGCAGCAGATGGCCGTGAATGAAGCTGCGCGGTGCTGTGGTGATAAACATCCGGGTGCAATGGGTCAAAAGGTAAGGCTGTGAAGTGAGTGTCCCTTTTTTCCCTCTGGGTCTGGCTCCTGCCGTCTGCTGGGCCTTGCTGCTGTTCTACCAGACGCTGCTGTTCGGCGTGGGAAACCGACCACGGTACCGGGGTACGTACCGCGCCATACTGCGCATTGTGTCGCGGTCGGTACCGCGGGAACGTACCTGCCTACCCTGTTTTGAGCGTCGCCGTCGCCGCCCCCAAGCCAAATCGGGAAATCATCGCTCGTCATTGGCCGAGGGTCTCACCCTGCCAGCTCCACCCATCGAGCTAGACTCAAACAGGCGCCACTGGCCTCATTTCCACCGCCCTCATTCGTCCGGAGGAGCTGATTTTCCGCCTACATCCCGTTTGCCTCTGCTTGGCTCTGCAGTCCGTTTTGCCCAAAGCCTGCAATTACCATCCGGTCAGAAGTATCGTGACGGCCCGGGTGTTTGTGCTTGCGTGAAAAGCGAAGCGATCAATGCCCTAGTACAACTTCATACATCCGTTATGCAGTAGAGCGCTCTCACAATTACTTGAATACATAATACATCTAGCACGTCTATTCCCCCTTGGCCACCTTTCAGAGTCATCCCCCCCTTTAGCGTCGCACTCTTCGTTCCCCAAAAAGGTAACATCCTCACATCATCTGGCCCTCCACCCTGAGCATATGGACACCCACGTATGTTAGCGTAGGTGGGCATATGACGACGCATGTACAACTATCCCATGTGAACATGCCCTGCCCAGTGCATCACCAGATCTGTTGGACCATGCCTGTGGCATGAATCAGAGCTCGTGCGCCTCCGTGCTCTAGTAATTGTACAGGACCTGGTGAAGGGACGGTACCTGCATCACGCAGAGTGCGGGGCCTGTAAGTGCCAGTGGTGAAGGTTATTTAAGGTAAGTCAGAGTAAGGGATCCATGTCACTCCATGGGTCAGAGCAATTTTCATATCTCTAAACTTCCGGCGTTACTTCCCAGGTATGGGGCCTTTTCAACACTTGATCCAGAAATTGAGACAGTGGCTTTGAATATTTTGCTTTCTACGCAGGAAACTCGACGCCAAAACGCCTGTTTTGGTAAAATCCATGGGGCTCTGGAGGTACCTGGTACCAAGCCTTGTAGCGCCAATCTAATACCTACCTTATGCATAGTAAGCAAACACAACGTCCGAGCATGTGTTAATTCCGGCGTCCTACCCTAGGCTTGACATTTTCCTCGAGGCACATTTACGAACGTTGTACATTCTAAGTGAATATTTGCGTGCCTAATGTAAATACAGTAAGGCTCAAATGTGCCAATCCTAGCTGTGTGTTCCTATATTTTATTATTTACGCCATCATGAATAATAATAGTTCGTGGTTTGGAACAAACGCAAACAGGCTGGCCTACTTACACAAGTAGACACGATTGAGACGTGAAATGCCAACATGGCCACGCGATTATCTCAATTCGAGAAAGCACCACGGAAACTAATAAGATGTAGGATATGTATTTCTAAAATAGAGTCCATTGTCTTGTCATCTCTCGAATCGTTGGACAGGTGGTCTGTAGACTATGGGCCAATACAGAGGACCGGACCCGGAGCTGGCTGGGGAAAAAAGTTCTTTGCTTGAAATAAATCGGATAGATCCCCCCAATTGACCCATAATCCAATTTAGCACCCAATTTCGCAAAGACTGGTCAGAGGGGAATTTCCTAAATATCTTGGATGGGTTGGCTCTCCAAAGATGAGGTATAGGAGCGAGCCCCAGGTTTCGACCAATACACACTAAAGAAATTTTAGGAACCTAGAGTCCTTTTTAGATTGAGAAAGCATAGTGATTTCACTCCCAAAATCAGCCTGGCCTAGAGAATATATAATGCTGGTCTTCTTCTTTACTATGACATAAAATAGAGATAGTCAGACGAGCCACAAATTGAGAAGGCTTTTTTTCTCCAGTGAGTTTGGCCGAGTCTTAAGTCTATCCTCTTTTGTAAGAAGAGAAAGTCTTTTCTCATACCAGCTGCCTTCAAACAAACAGCCAAAAAATCCAAGGCAAGGTTCTTTGTTCTTGCTATATATAGTAAATGCCGAGCTTTCTTCTGCTCCTTGAATGTCAAACATGCCTTCACAGGCCTGCCAAGATAACAACTTTAATGACTAGATTACCATAAAATATGTTTCATGAGCCATTGAATCACTGGCCTTATTAGGCCGCACAGAAATCCGAAAGGTTTTCTGGTTGAGGATAAATCGGCGTAATTATCGCTGTGCTAGTGGCACATTATCTATGCTCTAGGGAATACTAAAATTGATGCAAACTACAAATGAATTCGAAACGGACTCTAACTCCGATTTTCAAATAACGAGGTTTAGTGTAGAGAAGCCTAGAGTTTTAGGGCTATGTGGTGGCTGATGCAGCAGGTCAACACTAATGTATGTTGCAATGAAAGCCAGCTAACAAATGACCGCCATGATAAGAAATATGAATGGGTCAATGGTAATTATAGTTGAAATCAACTATCTGCTGTGAAAACCTTTTGTATTATCACTGACAGGAATCACTGACAGGAAGACAAGTGGTGGGGTTTTCAACGCAAATGGGAAATCGAATTTAATCATTTTCTCTCTAGAAACTTGAATTTCATTTTCGGAAGGAAAATGATACAATGATTCTTTTAATTGTGAAGTGGCGGATAGAATTCTATTGACAAGAAGCTCCTCGACATTGGCGCCACCTTCGCCACACCACGCCACACCTGAGGAACCCAGACCATCGAGCTCAACCAAGATGGGCACATCACTCTTGATCCCCTTTGTCGTAAGGTTGATCGATCATTCATAGGGTAATAATTCATCTTACACGAATCTCCAAATGCGGCCACCCCCCCCATCTTCTCTCTTTTTATTTATGTATGATGTTCTCTGTCTGAAGACCTTTTTATGGCATCAACCCCCATGCTCTTACGGGACCCACTATAAACGCACCCAACAGTTCTCCTGTCTGTTGATATACTGGGTGGTGGCTTTGCGACTGTTCGCGATGCCATTTTCTTTTACTGCAATTGACTTTGGTATATTCTAGAATGAGTTTTTGGCGGATTTTGACTATGAACTGGTTTGCGCTTGGGAATTACTGTGCGAATGTATGCTTTGAAGCATTGGGGTACCATTTACAGCCCACCAAGGGATGGAATATGGTGGATAACCTGGTAATGGAAATAGCCACAGCTATCCCCGTTCATCTCGTCTCTCTCTACATGGAAAACTCATGGATTCATTGCCACGGAGCGGATAATTGGCGCAGCATCGGGGAGATTTTTGGCCTCACCGGCGGAAAGTGTGGTCCGCCGTAAATGGTTCTAACCAAACAACCCAGCCTACAAGGCACTCACTCCGGTCTCTCATTGAGCTACATCTTTTTAGAGCATTTGAAGTTGGTGAAACGTACTTGTGGCACGGCCCTTTTAGCTTGGGTCCCATCGGCTTGCTTTTTGTTGTGGTTTTGGAGGCTACGTTGGGGTCGAAGTTGCGGTCGCAGAGCGCCAATCTTTTGGTTCTTATGATTGTCGGGGCAGTTTTAGACCTTTCGAGTTGACCTCGACTTGCGAATTAGGTAAGGGTCTCTGGGAATCGTAGTGTACACGAGATGGCGGGCGAAATCTCTGTACAAATCAGAGGAGGATGGGGAAGCGGATGGCAAGCAGTAAGGCATCAATTGGTTTCCTGCAAGAGCCTACAAGCCATAACCATCTTTGGTAACCCCCTGCAGAGTTTCGGATGGTATTTCTATGACCCATAAACCTTGGGTTGGACCCTAGCTCTGCGTCCATCTTCGCTGACAGAGCCACAGCTTGCTGAGAGTTTGCTCGCCCAAACCCATTGACTCGGCGTCACCTTTGGCAGCTCCGGCTTGCTATGAGTAGCCAATCTCGTTGGGATGTGGGATCGTGTAAAAATCAGGGAGGTATGGAGGCAGCGGTCGCAGGTTACTGCTCGCGGGAGTGTTGGAGGAGCATTGGAATTTGTCGTCGTCTGGTGCGATTGACCGAGGGTGTGGTACACGTGTAGACTGGCGCATTGACGCTTTCTCTAGGTGAAGCACAATCTAGTGCTTATCCACTTAACGAACGTCATGAGGTTGTCGTTGGAGGAGGGGTGAGGTGGCCATCGTCGGCGCTTATGTTGGCGTTGTCGCTGTGCTACCGCTCCCAGAACCGTGGGGCTCTTTTGCAACGACGCTTTTTTTCTGAGCTTGACCCACGGACGGTCCCCCATTGGCTTGATCGGATATTGACCCCTTGAACTTTATTCTGTGCCCCGCACGCGGCTCCATGAGCAGAGCCACCCGCCTGGGCAGCTTAGTCATCTGCCAAACTCAGACCCGGAGAAAAGCATCAGAAAAAGGACAGGATGGTGGAAAGCCCGAGGAGATAGAGCTGAATCGGGAGATCGATCACGCCGCGATACCTTCATGAGATCACACCCGTATAACTATCGTCGGTGCCCGCATCATTATAACGCTGATGCCTGTGTACAAGCTTGCCGTGGCATGCGGCTTGAATTAGCTGCGCTCTAAGCGACCGATAAGGGTCACCTACGCACGGTGGATCTTTCCCAATCTGGCAATTGATCTATCCGATAGTTACCCGCTTTCTCAATTTTTTTTTCTTGTGAGCGACCTTCACTCTGAACCGACGTCACCCGGCCCCAGGCTCACCGTGACACAACCACCGAGATTGACGCACCGCGACGCCTCGCCTCAGGACAATGGGCGGCAAGAGGCGCAGGCTCGCCCAGAAGGAGCAGGCCAACGCAAAGCGCCTCCAGAAAGGCCAGCCAGGCCATGACGACGCGGCGGGACAGCCCAAGCCCAAGAAGGGTGCCAACCCTGCCCACCAGCAGAAGCAGCATGAGAAGCCCACGATCCCCTTCAACCCGGAGGACCGCATCCTGCTCATCGGCGAGGGCGACCTGAGCTTCGCCGCCTCCCTCGCGACCCACCACCGCTGCAGGAACCTCGTCGCGACCGTCCTCGAGAAGTCGGCCCAGGAGCTCACGGAAAAGTACCCCCACGCCGCCGAGAACCTCACGGCCGTCACATCCCCCCCTCCGCCACCGCAGTCCGACGACGAGGGAGAAGAGGAGGAGGACGACGCAGAGGAACCAGACCACCACCTCGCAGCGGCCGGCCGCGACGCAGCGCCTATAAAGAACAGGATCGTCTACGGCGTCGACGTAACCAGGCCCCTCCCCGCCTCGGCCTCGCGCCCGCCCCCGTCCCGCATCCTCTTCAACTTCCCCCACGTTGGCGGCAAGTCCACCGACGTCAACCGCCAGGTCCGCCACAACCAGTCCCTCCTCGTCTCCTTCTTCGACCACGCCCTCCGCGCCCTCGCCCCCGGCGGCACCGTCGTCGTCACCCTCTTCGAGGGCGAGCCCTACACCCTCTGGAACGTCCGCGACCTCGCCCGCCACGCCGGCCTCCAGGTCGACCGTAGCTTCCGCTTCCAGGCCGCCGCCTACCCGGGCTACCACCACGCGCGCACCCTCGGCGTCGTCAAGGCCCGCAGCGGCGAGGGCGGGGGCGGGTGGAAGGGGGAGGAGCGCGCGGCCAGGAGCTACGTCTTCGTCAGGAAGGGCGATACCCCGCTGCCCATTGGTACGAGCAAGGTCAACACGGGCAAGAAGAGGCGGAGAGAGCAGGACGAGGACGACAGCGATGACGATTTCTGAATGTTTTGGGAAGGGAAAATAGACGTGGGCAGGCTTAAGATTTGCGCGGCTGCCTCGTATCTGCATCTGCGGACAGAGGTTCAGCTAACTTCACGGCGTTTTTGGCGAAAAAGATTTTAGCATTAGGGAGAACGATATATATATATACCCCCTCATAATTTGAGACCAGCTAGACTCCCATTTTGGCCATTGATGATAGATACATTGATAAAATAGCAAAAGCTGATGAATTGGTAAGAAAAAAACCATGCCTTTTTGTTCTCTAATATGTCGTGCTCTCTAAAACAGCCCGAGGTATCTTTAATCTAAAATGTCTTAGAATTTGTCGCCCATAAACGCCGCCCCTGCTGTCTGTCCATGTCGACACCAAAGGGGCTCCCAAACCGCCCGTGGGAATAAAAAAAAAGCACTCTCTTTTCTTGTCACTCAAGCGACCATGATCACATTACGCCGAATCCATGCTAATTTCCTTTCTTTTTGTACAGCAGCAAAACCGCCCGTAGCTCATCCGTTCGTCTTCGCCCGCCCGCCCACGCCAGTTTGGTCGAGTACCGTTCATGTCAATGGCAAGGCTCTCATTACTAATTCCTCTCCTAACGCTGATTCCGAATTGTCGCACCCCTTAAATACGAAGCTGCTTATTGTGGGCCAAAGCAAAATAGGCTCAGAACCGAATGGCGTATTAGATGAGGTATATGCTCCTGCGCTACCTCCTAGCAAACAGAATAGTGCTAGAATACCGAGCGCCATATAGTACACTGTGCTGAGTCCCAGCCCCGATAGCGATCAGGGCCGTGTCACTCCAAGAACACAATTTCAAAAATGATTGGCTCCACTCCCATGAAATCAGATATGTAGTAACCCCAAACGCATACTTTTCAGTGGCTGAGCACTTCGGATGTTCCCCGGGAAGCAGCAGCGGTTCTATGCATGTCATCGGCTGCCTGCTCCAATGCCTTTGTCTGGTTTGCTTCGTCCTCCAGCCGCTGGGCCTCTTCGTTCTCTCTCATGAGGGCTTCCTCTTGCTCTCGCAGTCCTTCGTCTGTCTCCTTTGAGGGACCGCCGATGTTCCGAGCCCCCGGAGGAGGGGGTGGCGGGGGAGGAGTCCCCATTTGGTCACTCTCCTCTTCCCTGAGCCTCTTCAAGTCTCTGCCATCTGGGGGTGTGATTACTGGAGAGTCGCCGCTCTCATCGTCAATACGTTTCCGTTTCTTCTCGGGACTTGACGGCGTTGTGCCATTCTCCACATCACTCATCATAGTCTCGTCACCAATCGCCGCAGACCCTTCCTCAGGTGACTCCTTGGGGTCATTGGACCCGTCTTTATTCGCCTGGGCAGCCTTGCGCTCCTTGTGTCCATTAAATTTGACGACCGCCTTGTCCAAGAAATCCTTGACATACTTCTTGATTTTTTGCACTTGTTTCTCGTTCAGTTCGGCGCTCGGGTCCGTGACCCTTCCGTTTTTGAAATCCGAGCTCACAAGCTTTTTGGAAATGTCCTTGCCGAACCTTTTGAGTTCTTCCTTGGGCAGCTTGTGTCGAAATTTGTCGACAACGTGCTTCACATGTGGATGAATCTGATTAGTTAGCTTTTGGTTATCCCTGATAGTAAATAACAGGACAAGCCAAACGTACCGTGTTTTCGTAGATCTTCATCTGTTTCTCAACCGGGATTGATCGGATCTTTTCACGTTTCAACTCTGCTGCTGATGCGGCATTGACTTGAGGTTGCTGCTGCGTTGGGGGCGCTTTTGGCGTGCTGCCTTCCCTTGTGACCTTGTTAATGATGCTCTGGATGGCAAGCAACTCCTGGGCTGCCTTGTTGACCGTTGGCTCTACGGCCGGCTTTGTAGGCCTTTCCCATGTCGTGGTACCTTGCTTGTCATAGAAGTAAGTTCGACCATGGTTGTCCCTTGCAGCAAACCACCCTTCCGGTAGCTGCTTTTGGAAGGAACGGTGCCGTGGGCGTGCGAAGTATCCTTGAGGCATCTGCCTCTGGGGTTGATTGTTGCGAGGCCCTCGAGGAGCATCGAGGGGCTGGGGAGAGGTAGTCTTGACTTGGGCTGCTTCTTCCTCTCGAACCTGTCCGCCCCGTCGATCCTCAAACGAATTTGAGTTGTGGTTTGGGATGCTCGGATCCAATTTCCGTCGTCGAATACGATATGCGACTTCCAACTTACTCCAATCGTCAAGTAGCTTCTTGGCTTTCGAGGTGACATTCTCGTCGTCGACATGCGTTAATGGCTCGATCGAGGCTTCGATCTTGGCATCCTGAATCTTGTTTCGTGTCATCCGGGGAAATTTGTCAAGGATCGACAACACCTGTAAAACGACGTTGAAGTCCTCAATGAATGTGTTGAGCACGTTCTTGAGAATTTGGTAAGCGTGCATACGCATTACGCAGTGGATGACCTTTTCTTCATCGCAGTTTTGAATTCGCTGCAACAGCTTGACGGCAATCCACTTCTCCTTGCATTGCATGAGGGTGGCCATGACCTTGCGCGCATCTTCCTCGTCCAAATTACGTGGTTGGATGCGGCTGACGTACTCCTCATCCTCCTCCTCCGGCTTCTTCTTGCGTGGTTTCTTCGCAGCAGTTGCCTCCCACACTTCACCGCCATCGATACCCAGAGCTTCAACCATGCCCGGTGCCAGTTTGGTGGACCGCTCGGTCTGGGTCTTGCCACCAATAAAACCAACACAGTTGGCCTCTCCACAGTAGCATGGTTGCGGCTCGGCACCATAGCGGTCAACATTGTAGTTGAACACCAACTCCTCGCCAGCCTGAATGTCGCGGAGAGCGAAAATGCCCATCCGAAGCTTTTCGCCCACGACCCACTTGTCGACGTAGCAGTTGGGGTTGCATGAGTGGTTGCAAAAGCGACCCAGGTTTCCCTTTTTCGTGGCATCCACAAACTCGCTCTTGTTGAGGGACATGAAGTAGAAGTGTTTGATGCCTTCATCGTCGTATTGCATCATCCGCCGGCGGAATGTTGGCTCATTAATGACCTCACCAATGTACTCGTAGATGAAATCGTTGACGCGGAGCGAAAAGTCGGCACGTAGACCAAACCCCTTCTTCTCAGTTTTGATGACAGAAACACGAGCGTACTCGCGGCGCTGGAACCGTTGATTCTGGCAGCCGCCGCCGCAGTTCCCATCATCTACGCTACATTCCATTTTGGTAGCTCGATTGATGCAGTCAGAGTCATCACCACAAGCATGATTTTCGCCATCCTCTGCGAGGGAGGTTAGCAGCGTGCATCTCAGAATATCGTTGCGCGTATCACGAGAAATGAGATGACTGAGATATGGGGGAGAGAGAGAAGCACTTACGCCAGTCTTCCCTACATTCGCAATCCAGGGCGTCATTATCCGTGGATCCCAAATGCTTCGACCCATAGAGACAGTCGGGAATAACCTGGAAGGTCTTGCACGAGTCAAACGTCACGTCAGGGAGGTGTTCGAAAATTGAAGGTTCGCCTTGTGGCAGGTCACGTTTCTGAGACGCCTTTCGGGATAGGCGCGGTGGCCTCTGAGAGTCGGGCGTCTCGACACTGCCGCTGCGGGACTTGGCTCCCTCCATCGATAATGATGGGAGTGGCGACGGTCCGGACGCATCCTTCACACCGGACGCGCGCGGTGCGTCTTCCTTTCCCACATGCCCGTTGACGGTTGGTGCGTCGTCCTCAAGTTTGATCCCTCCCATTTTGGTGAGTGCATGCCCATCATCCCCCATCAGAGCATCTGAAGCCCAGGATATATGTGCGTTCTCTGGCCTGGATATCGGGTGGGTGCAGGTCGGTTTGGCGGGCGGACGGAAGCAAGGACGCTTGAGAAGTAGGTAGCCGTGGATGTGCGGGACGACGACGCAAGTGGCCACCTACGGAAGGAGGTCGTGCTGCGTAGCGCTTGCTGTTCGGGTGCGAAGGGCGCGTAGAGAGTGAGAGGCCGGTTTTGAGTGTTGCGCGCGCGTGGAGCGATGCGATGGCAGCACGGCAATTAGATGATAAATCGGCCCAGGGGCTCGGAACGCGTGATTTTTCGGACGAGTGCGATATACATCTGGCCGTATCGGCAGGCTCACTCGTGAATCGGCGGCGCGGCGAGGAGGGAGAGGTTCGAGGGAGATCGAAAATCGGCCGTCCTGGGGATTTCGTGTGGAAAACGGGGAAGAAATCCGAGGACGCTGGACCTAGAAAAAGGTACGTACTGCCCGCGTTCATCCAATCTGGGCGCCCATTCCTAGTCCTGGCTCCCGAGTCAGTCCAGCCCAGCCATGCATCCACACTTATACATACGAACATGCACACACGGCTAACCCCGGATTTTCTTGACCCCGATCGACGTAAGAGGCAGAGGGTGAGTGAGCTAAGGTTGGCAACTAATCGCAGCCCTCGATGCAGAGGGATTAGGTAGGTGGCTGATGGTACCCCCCGTGCCTGTCGCCGAGGGCCGATCATCCACCATGGGATAAATCAATCTCGAGGCCACAGCGCCAAATAGATGCATGGATAGATGGGGGCATTTGATTGATGCGCGACTCCAAGGCGGGTATGAAATGAAACGCGGCTGAGGCATAATTTCATACCGGCAGCACATTACAAGGATCTGGCGCACGGTCGGGGGATCTTGAAAAGAAAGGTTGTGATTGAGATCGCCTATGTAGGAGGTAGGAATTCATATGGTGGCCTATCAATATTGTTCATCCCTTGCTTGACGCAGAAATAACGAAATGAGACTATTCAGCTTGAAAGAACAAAACGATTGATCCACAACTTCCTGCTCCTCTTATTGAGTCCAGGGCTGCGGTCTGGTATGGGAAAAAAAAAGGGATTATCTGGTGCTTAGGAGGCATGGCGCATCTTGATACACATGGATGGAGGTTTCCTGGCCAGTGACCTTTGTCCGCCGACCAGTCTTGGGCACCGAGAACTGTTGTAACAAAAAGAGACAGAACCAACCTTTCCTACTGTGCATCGGTGTTGGGGTGAGAGCTT